ACAAAATGTGCTATTTACAGTGCTCTTCAGAATTATCCATACCTCCAGATGAAATATAACATACTGTAACACATCATGTCATAGTATGTTACAGATTACATAATGTATCACCTATAAAGAATTGTAGCATTATCCTGTAATCATAATAACAACAACATTTGTTATAAGCACTAAAATTAATTCCAGAAATCAAGAAAATCACAGTTCTTCATACATTAGCATTCCATTAAATACAATTCAACAGAAATAAACAGCAACACTACCAAGTAAAATTCATGGATGTGCGATCTTTGCTGTGTTAAGAAGAAACAAAACAAGAGTGTAGTAGAAGATGCAAAGGGGGACACACCCACACCCATTAAATAAAAACCACTCTGGAGAAGGAAGTTTTGAGTCTGGATTATATAGTGCTCAAGGACATTGACATTCTCATATCCTTGGGGATAGAATTCCAGAGCTTTGAGGCATAACAGGAGAAAGCCTGGTCGCCCGTAGTATGTGATCAAGCTTGAGTGACAAAAAGGTGACCAGAGTCAGACAAACAAAGGCTGCGAGGTGAGGAGTAGGAAGACATTAAACCAGCCATAAGGAACCTTATAGTGACCATGACCACAAGACCTAATAGGAAACCAGTGCAAGGGCTCCAGGATCGCTGTAATTTGGTCTATTGCATGCAACCTGGTTGGCAGCCAAATTCTGGACATACTGAAGGCTTCAAAGTGGGAAGTTTCTGGAAGGTGAATTACAAAAAGAGGGGACTCATAATTGTCTAATATTACTTGAATGACAGCTGAAAAGTCTTGTGATCAGATAAATTGAAAATTGGAAATGCTCAGCAGCATTGTATTTGACATTAAAAAAGAAGCTCACATTGAGAAAGATAAAATAAGATCACTTTATTGGACATATACAATTTCTTTTACTAGGAATTTGTCTTTTTGCATACCCCAACTTGCTCTCCATGAGACACACAGACAAGGAGAGAAGCTTGGGGTCAGAGTGCAGGGTCAGCCATTTATATGGCGCCCCTGGGGCAGCTGAGGTTAAGGGCCTTGCAAAGGGGCCCAATGGAGTAGATTTCCTCTGCCAGCCACAGGATATGAACCATCAACCTTCCAGCCACAGGCACAGATCCTTGGCCACAGAGCCACTGCCCATGCCGAAATGAAAATACTCATGACGAGTGAAATATTGTGGGGAGTCTTTTATGTCTTGTGGTTATCTTGCATCTATGGGTCCTGGAGCCTTTGTCAAGAAAGGGAAATCCTGAACTTCAACATGTATCTGGATATTTTAGCTAGAAACAGTGTTACAGTAAGTGTCTTTACACTTACAGTACATGGTGCTTTTCTGGACACTGCACTCAATGTGTTTTACAGGTAATGGGGACTCTCCTCCACTACAACCAATGTGCAGCCCCCACCTGAATGATGTGACAGGAGCCATTAGTGGGCCACTACATTAACCCCACATCAGCTATCCGTGGGAATGAGAACAGAGTGATGGAGCCAGTTCACAGATGGGGATTGTTAGCAGGCCATGATAGATAATATTCAGGGGGGAAGTTTGCCCAGGATACTGGGGTTTCCGCCCCTACATGATTTTTTTTCCCCAAAAGGCTCAAAAATGAAGGTTGTATAATCACAGTGATACAAACCGTACTGTACATCCAAATCAGCAAATAGTGAACTGCATACCAAAAAAATGTTCTTGACCAGCCTTCTTACCAAGCAGACTTCACTCCAATTAAACAGTTGTGATTCAAACCCAGGATGGCAGTTTACAAATGGAAAAAAAAGTGGCTGAAGAACTTAGAGCAATTCTACATGGATGAGTGTTTAGAAGTTACCCTTCTGAAGTGCCTCATAGCACACTACTGGAGACGACCAGAGGTGGATTTAAAAAATATTAACTACAGAGATGTGCATCGATTTAACCCTTTTATTTTCTGGACTTATTTTCTGTGCAATGTTATTAAGACTATTATATAACATATTTAGATATTTTAAGGAAGAAACATTAGACAATATTTCAGTTAATTTATCTTTATTGTTCCTGTTTCATCAGGGACATGAATACATTTGGAAGGCATTACAATTAATAATTAACTGTGCACGTGATGTACTGTAGGAATTGATCATATTAGGTAATGTTAATAGAAAAATGTCCTGCTGTAATTATTTCATACATGTATTATGGTTTTTGGTGTGCCAACAGTTGTTCGAATTTGTTTCTTATTCAGTTAAAAAACAAGCAGTATTTAATATCAAGCTTATGTTGCTGTTGAAAATGTAATTTCTGTGTTTGTCTGTTATTTAAAAACTTACAAAGCATAAAATGGGGAGAAGCTTCAGTTAGGATTTTTTTAAATGTAATGTATACTGTTAAGGAATACCACAGGGAATGGTTTGTTATATTTGATTAAAAGCAAGGCATCCTAAGCTTTAGGAAAATGTATCAAAGATGAAAAAAGGAGTGAGATGGCTTTCATGGATCTCTTTGATTAAAAGTATTTAGATTTGTCAGCGATCTTATGATTTTGACACGATGAAGAAAAATAAAAACATCAAAGCAATTCAAAAACTAAATTGGAAGCCTATCCAAAATAAGGAGCAAGTGTTAAGAGCTTCATGTACCTCAGGAACAAGTAATAGGTTTATTCCATGCTGAAAAGAGAGGAAAGAAAACACAACATTTCTGCTGTGAAGCCTTCTTCCTCATAAAGTGTGCACAGTTCCTAGATAGAGCCTACTACAGGTCAGAGATCTCCAGTTCCTGTCCTAAAGAGCCACAGACTCTTATTCCAAAGATACATCTAAGTACATAGTATGAATAACATTCAGCAGTGGACATTTTTTTAAAAAAATAATTCAAAATCTTTACATTATATTTGGATTCCAAAAACAGAAAATATTCTTATATATTAAGAATAGAATAATCTAATAGAGGTTTGTGTCAACTACATTTACAACACAATACTGCATCAGATATAATACAGTAAATTAAAAGCCCAGAAGGTGGCAGCAATGAACATCATTTGGCTTTTATGTATTGCTCAAAAACAATATAAAGAATCCCCTCAATTCTTAACTCAGTGCATTTGAGATATTGTTTTTTCCCACCATTATTACCCGTTTTATTTTATCACAACTTAATTCACAGAAAACCTTATGCTCCATCATACACAACCTTGTAGAGTGTATTATACAGTATGTGAACGCCACTTGAATTCTTATTAAACCTACAATAGACTCCACTGCTAAAGAAACACAGACCCTCAGGTTTTATCAAGGACTGTACCCATCAGCTCCGCAGGTTAATTAAAGTAACATGTCACCTTGCTAAGGCCTTTACTCCATTTTATGTTTTTTATGTACCTGATCTTTGAGGCTCATGTTTTGAAGGTATTCTGAAGATTTGAGTACTTCTTTTATGTACAGAAAATTCCTATGTTCACATCCAGGCAGACAAGCATGCAAGAACACTAATTGATTTTTACAGAAAGTTTGCTTTGGTTGTCATGAATATACAGTGTGATAGGCAATTTAGAATAAAGTATATAGATTCCAAGATCTTAGAGGCATCTATGGTCCATCCTTATCCCCCCCGATTTGCTATGAAATCATAAGAAAGCTTAAGATTAGAATTAAAGCAAATAGTTTTTTTTAACTGTAGAACAAGGGAATTTTGAACATGGTGGCAAATATGTAAACTTCCTGCTTCTCAGTGTCTCCACACTCCTCAGGCACTTCCAACCCTGGTGAGCTTTGCTTGTTGTAAATAGCTCCTTAAACATATTGTTTATTTCTCTGGCCACAAAAAAAAAACAGTTAATAGTTCATGCCAAAAAAAATGGGCACAGGAAGACAATTCATTTTGATCTATTGTAAGTGATTGGCTTTTGTGTTTGGAAGTCTATTAGACTTAACAAGAAAAGTCCTTGAAAAATGCAACACAATAAAAGAAAACAATGTTTTGGGTAAGGTTAATTGGATATCTGTAGGAAGAGAATGGGAATGTTTTCAGGTGATGATGTTTCACAATTCAATCACCACAGTGTACTTTTCTGGTAACCAAGGCAACACTTGTAAGTGAATTGGGTGAGTTATGTTTTCACACCCGTTTTTGATGGATATTTCGGCACAGATTGCATCAGTACTTCATGGTTCTGATTCAGAACATGGTGTTATTTTTACCTCTCCTTTTCATAAATAGAAAATACAAACTCCTAATTTTACCAAATTGAAGTGAAAAAAACTTTAATTAATTTTAGAGAAACATATTAGACGTCAGCAAGGTAGCACAGTAGTTACTGTAGCATTACTGCCTTCCAGTGCAGTACACCTTGGTTCAATTGCCATTAAAGCATGGTAACTCACATAACAAAATTGGGGCTTGGTTGAACTCCTGAACTTTGTGTTATTTGCTTGCTTAAGCAGATGCCCTAATCCAGAGTGATTTGCAGCCTTGTGAAATAAACAAAAAACAAATTTTATATTGCATGGAGAAATCTGTAAATACACTGTGTGAACAGCTATTCAGGACTGGGCTGGTAAAGAGGCAACAGCGATGAGTGGTTTGATGCAAACTCATCTGCAGTTCCTGATCCCAGAGATATTTATGTTCCTACTGGAAATTACAATATTAACATCGGCAGGGGCTATAAAGGAAACTATTCCAGAAGCACAATGTTTGGACACTATAAAAAATAGAGGTCTTTTAAGAAAATTTGGTTTACATGAATTTTTAGACACAAAGTGACAAAACACTGTTAAGGATGAACAATGGGTACTATTTTAATATTTCAATTATTTAACATTTCACTCAAAACAATAACAACATTGGAAACACCAGGGAACACCCATTTCATTCATGTGAAAAAGACAACAATATACAAATGCAGAATATCAGAATGTTCAAACAATATTCTTATACAACATACTGTATACAGTAAACAATAATAGTGAATTTTAATATATATAAAAGTATATATTTCCTACTAAACATTGACTATTTCTAAAAATGAACTTTGGTCTGTTGAAGCAAACATTGTATGGCTCAAGTTTATGTTCCTGCCTTCAGGGTCTTACTACAATTGACTTTCAGTATATAGACTGTAATTGAAAATTGTGTTGAATTCAGAGAAAAAAGATAAAGGACAAACCCCTGGTATTCCCGACAAGCATGTCAGTATATGAAACATCTCCAATACTAGAGTATTTACAAGCATGACAAAACCATTGCACAGGTGGTACCAGTGGCTAAGGAAAATGCAATTTTTAGATCTCTTTAAATTTTAGTTTCATAGTTTGGAAATCATAATTTGTTAGTATTTATAACCTTCAAAATTCCAAAATATAAATATAGATATAGAATTAATGTGGTAGTAACTGACCACAAAAGGCTAATTTCATGTGAACAAAAGATCTTTTGCTCTCAGACATAAAATCTTCATAAATGTCCAAAAGTGCAAGGTTTATATCAGCTTTATACTATACATTATATCTGACTTATCAAGAGGCCCAGGAGGAATTGAGGAACACAGCTTTCACAGTTAGAACCGATCACCCATACTGTACATGTACACAAAACAATTTCTAGTTCTCTAACAATAAAGAACCTGACCACTGCATGTGCTACAACAATAAGAGAAACCCAGTGTAGACATTTAGAAAGACCATGGATTTCTCACTTACACGCTGCACTTGTAACACTGCACTTTCACTAAAGACAAAGATTAGTTGGATTGCCAACTGATGAAAAAACAAGACAAAACAGTTATTTCATTCATAAACTAGTGCAGCAATTTGTATGTTTTTGTCCCGGGTCTCTATAATTTCAATTATTCTTCTCTTCTATTTCTTTCCTGTCAAGAGCACAGGTCAGCTAGATATGAGCACAAACTCTTTGTTAGGCCTGGGCTCCAAGCTAGCAGGGGCCACTATCATTTTGGAAACCCAGCAAGGGTAAATGGCTTTAGCATTTACTCGGTTAGTGTTTGATTGTGAATGAGAAGTGCTCCTATCCAGGTTACTCTGACCCCTAGGCTGCACCTCAATGACTGCAGGAGCCTGCGGCTGATTCACAGAGACTGAGACTCTGTTCCGAGCTGATCCTGTGAAGTAGGACCTAACGAGGCACTGTAGCTCCTGACGAAAGGTCTTGTTGAAGTAGAAGTAAATGAAGGGGTTATAGACATGCGAACTCTTGGCAAATAATGCCGGGAATATGAAACCTTCTGGAGCCAGATGCCAAGTGTCCTTGTGAAAAATGAATAAGAAGGAAACCACTGCGTATGGTGCCCATGCGGTGACAAAACCAAGGCTGATGCAGAAAAACATCTGTGGGAGAAAAAGGATTTGCAGAATTATGGATTTGAACAGATTAATGACACAAACCTAGAAATGGTTTAAAATTGGAAGAGAAATACTTTTGCACATCCATATGCCTTTTTCACTCACTATCTACAGAATCTGTCTTTTGTTTTTCTGACCTAAAAATATCTGTACAATTAGGAAAAATGAGGAGAAGGTGTGTCAGCAGTAAAGCTTCAGCTTCTGTGAAAGTTAAGATAGCTATTTTGCCTTGGAGAAATATTTTATTTTCATATGTACACATTATTACAAGCATTCTATACTTTTTGTCATCAGTAGGTAAATAAACATTGGGATGCTTCAACTTGGTTTTTTAGGAAATCTTACTATCAGATATACATGTTATTGCACATATCAGTTTATTTTTATTGATTACAATACCATTATATAAACTGTGTATGAAGTCTGGTTTATAGTGCCAAGACAGATTTTGCATGACCACATTCCTCCATTCCCAGTTTTCCCATATGTTTTTAGTTTACTTCAGCATGGTTTCCTAAAGCACAGCATGTTGTTAGAACATAGTCCCCTCATGGCAAGGAGGCTTACTGTAACACTATTCATCCTGAAGGATCCCAGTGCAGTTTTACATTCAGGAATACACCACTGAAGGGAAGTCCCCAACTGGGTGATGTGTGGCAGCCATTAAGTGCCAGTAACCTGACTACATAACAAATCAGGCAAGGAAATTAGAAAAAAGTAGGCTAGTTTTAGCCCGTTGAGCCATGATACCCGACTTAACAACCATAGTGTCACGCCCGACATCCTTCCCTAGAGGGCGCTCCACTACTACCATTATTGTTTCTGTGATTAAGCTTCCCAGGTGTACCTTTTTAGGTTTATTATTTAAAGACTAGCTTCTCCAGTCCTCGGGGCTCATCATTAGGGTAAGGATGTCGCGAGGCCCGCCTAGCACCAGGAAACCCTACGTCTGTCTCCTGAGGGCATATGCCTCATCCCCAACACCTCCTGCTTCCCGAGCCCGGGTTCTGGAGGATATCGCCCCGTCACCCTTGGACCTCCATGTTTTGTCTGTCCGTGTGTTCCCCCCTCCCGGGGATTTTAACCTTGTCGCGTCCCAGGATGGATTTCTCGCTGATGGACTCTCAGACTATGCCCTGACCTGCCTTTGGACCCATTTGGATTTGGATGCCGTTCTTTGTCTTCCCCGCTCACCGTCTCACGGATTGTCACTATTATTTTGTGCACTATTAAACCCCTGTGTGTTCCCTTTTACCATGCCTCCTGTTTTCTCCAGCTCTTACCGCATCGCATAGAGTCTACTACAAGATCTGACACGGATCTCAGTCCGTGTTCGTGACACATAGTCTTTCAAAATGTGCCATGCAATTTCTAATGAGCAAGTAAACAGAGCCTTCATTTAAGGACAGTACTTCCAACAGCACATTGTAGTTACCACACAAAAGCAGTGTTTTAGAAATTCTTGTCTGAAGAGAAGATTGCTACCTGCTGGTGCACCAAAATCACTTTCAGCAGCATCTGTTTTTTTTCCTCTATATGTCTACCCTCAAAGTACTGACCAGACCCAGACTTGCTCAGCTTCTAAGATCTGAAAGGATCAGGCCAAAAGGTTGTCATATTTCTTATATTGTTATTATATTGTTAAATTATTGCCAAAGAGATACACGTAGTTGATAGAAGTAAAATATGTAAATAAAGGAAGCACACCATCAAAACACTACACTCCAAACGTCTACTGTGAGATGGAAAGTGATACTACTCGATTATAACAGAACAGTGCAATTTCCAGGACTGACTTTCATCAACCTATTACCAGTATTGGCATAGTACCTAATTCATTGAAAAAGTCTTGCTATTCTCTATGTAATGCACCTAACCACAAAACTATCCAGGGTGCCCCAAAAGCTTACATAGTTCTGTAAATATTCAACAACTTCAAAGAGCATTGTTGTCAAGATCTCATACTCTTCTCTAGAAGAGACATTAAAGGCCTCTCTTTCCCACAATGAAAGTTTTAAATGTATACAAACAAACTCCTTAATTAATGAAAGGAAAATCTTTTCACTCAAGTTGAAGTCAGAGTGAGAATGTGCCTTAATGTAGGATTTGTAGAAACATGTCTTTACAGCACTAAAATGGCAGCACACTTTAAGTGGTATTTTTTATACTTGGATAACACTTAGTATTTCTACAATCTTGCATGATGAGCTGAGACATTTTATTCAATTGTAAATAAATTTCCTCCCAGCTTTGAAATGCATATGAAACATTTCTGCAGGTAATAATAAATTCATCCTGAGAGATGTCCCAGCTTCCTGATTCTCTATTAACACCACAATCCAACACAAACATAGCAACACTCATTTTATCTAAAGCTCCTCTCACCCAAAGGCTTGTAGAGACTCAGTTCCTAATTCTCAACTTTTGAGACTCAGGAATGAACAAAAATGATAAAATGTCAGGCTTTTTTGATAAATAGGTGGTTTTCTACAGGGAAGAAATGCTGCCGTCACAGATTGCATGAGAATAACAAAATGTTTTAGATACTAGTAAGAAACTCATAGACATAAGAATTCCTCTGGTCCTGAATTACCCCTCTACCAAAGGAAAAGTGGAGGAAGTTGAGTGGAATTACTTCAAAATTCTACATCGTGACAGCATCATCCCCAGAAGTTTTGCCCAACAGGTTACATTTCTAATAGATAATACGGATTTATGACTTTGAATATGAATTGACTCATCTTTCGAAAGAAGTTTCACTTGCACAGCTGTAAGAACTAAAACTACAGAGCTATTGCACAATTTCTCATTCATTTTTTGTGCATATAAAAATCAAAGTTAGCAGCCACATTCAGAAAGAAATCAAGGCTAAATCTGTATTCTTATGTATAAAAAGTATACTTGGAAGAATAAATGAGTACCATCTCCTGTAGTGTAAGTGATTGGACATATTAAAATTTATTGCCAGAACGTTGTATAACCGATACTCTTAATTCCCACTGCATCATGGAAAACTTTCTTTAAACAGACAGATTGCATAGATCCCTCCATCCATCCATTTTCTAATCGATTCATCCAATTCAGTTTTGCAGGGGATCTGAAGCTGAAGCTGACAAGCAACCAGAGCAAGGCTGGGCACACACTAGATGGGACACCAGTCCATCGCAGAACACACTCACAGCAGGGCCAGTTTTCCCAGAAGCCAATTAACCTGTATGTCTTTGTGTGAACCAGAATGTCTTTGGACTATGGAAGCAAACCAGAGCACCCAGAGGAAACCCACACAAACACACACAGAACATACTGTACAAACTCCAAACAGACAGCCCCCCAGGTCTGGAATTGAACCGAGGACACCAGCACTGTGAAACAGCAATGCTATCCACTGTAACACCATGCCACTCCAGGTACTGTTACCTACAAATTTTTAAAGATGTCTGAATGGCACATTGTTTACTTGAAGAAATCAGCTGCAGTTATAATTTAACTAGTCTGGTGTAACTAGTCCTAATTTGCCCAGACCACACTGTGGACACATTTTACCAACAAATTTGTACTAAACTACTGCTGTAAGTATTTTAGTGATAATCTTCCTATCTGTAAACTGGGATTTATTCCAATTCTCCCTCTTGATTTTTATGTTATTGGCAATACTGTTTTTCACATGAACATCTGGGGGTCTCTCTTCCTGTAGAGAATAGTGAAATCATAAGTAGACAAAAGGTCCACTGTTTTCTTCTTTAAGAAGCATCACAAAAATAAAAGACTACATATTCAGACTGCAGTAGTGTTCTACAATTATAATTGCAATGAAAAATACATTTTCCACTGTGTTCTATCCAAATTACTATTTTATATTTCAGATAAGGAAATAAAAGAGGCAATAGTACACGCTGTCATCTTTTTTTCTCCACTATTTCAGGTTAACATACAGTATATATATTGGGACAAATTAAATAGTGTTAGCATACAAGTAACAACTTTGTCAAATCTGCAGCCCTTCAGAACCAGACTCTTGATATTTTCCTTTGAGATGCTTTGCCAAGCCTTAACTGACTTCACTATAGTTGTTGCTTTTGTGGGTTTTTTTCTGACTTCAGTTTCCTCTCTATCAAGTAAAATGTTTGCTTAGTAGGATTCAAATCAGATCACTACTTGGCCAGTTCAAAAGTTTTCACATCTTCATAATGAAACTCCTAGATTAAGTGTGAAGTATGTTTTTGGTCATTGTCTTGCTGCAGGATGAATCACTGCCAATTAGTCTGGAGGCATTTTGACATGGCAAAATGTACAAAATGTTTCTGTACAGTTCAGTCTGATACTGTCGAACTATTCTTTCTTTGTACTTCTTTACAAATTCTAATCCAGCCTTTCTGTTTTTAGTGCTGTCGGGAGTTTTACTGTACATCTTGCAGTTGCCTTCTAGCCATTTTAATTCTCCTGTCAAAGCCTCCCACATATACTGTAGTAAATTGAAGTAATTTTCACCCCGGCCTTTAGAGATACTCTGTAATTCCCATAGCTCTAATGATTTTCGCTTCATCAACTGTTGTCCTCTTTTTTGGATGACCTAATCTTTGATACAGTAGCTTGCTCCTCCAGTAAGTTTTTTTCTTTTTCAACACATTCCATATTTGTTTGTGATGCCCAATCTATTTGCAATGGTCGTTTTTCTTTGCTCTTTCCCTCACAATTACTTGCTCTTCAGTCATAAACAGCTCACTGACAGCCATAGTCAGTGAAAAAGTTAACCTATTGGAATCAAAAGTGAAATAAAAATCAGAAAATAAGATAAACTTCAGGGTACTTTCTTTAAATAGAGGGTTGTGAGTCTGTAACAAACTACTCATCCATGTTTTTGAAGCCAATAACCTGGCTACTTTCAAAACACAAGTGAATTCATTCCTTGCACCACTTAGCTGCTAATCAAACAAGCTATAAAGTTCGTAAGGCCTTTATTTTTTTTGTTACATAACTACAAATATAGATCACATTTCCATATTATCTGCAGTGCTCCACTGGATAAAAAAGACTAAGATACCAAGTGGGATGTACAGTACATGTGCGATACTGGTTTTATTCGTACAGTAGGATCTTGATATGCTCAAGGACTCGGTGCAGAGAACTGTCGCAAATAGCCAAATTTGCATATTACCAAGTACATGCCTAAAGCGTTGCATAATGTACTGTATTATATAGTATATATGGTTAAATGACATAAGTAACCTTTCATCATGTAATAATTTTACTAATACATTGGTTTTAGATTAAAATAGCACTGAACAACTAAAACAGTAATAAAATCCTTCTAAAAATCAGCTAAAATAAAGTCTAAATACCTCCTCTGCAGTTGATGCATGAACTTCATCGCTCCGCCTTTACAGCTAATTTCCTGCCCTTTTTATTACCTTTTTATTTGCCATACTGTATGCCTTGTGTAATGGTGTTTTATTATCAAGGCAGATTTTTGTTGCTGAGCTGTAATTTTCCCATAGGAGTATTTACTGCAACGCTCACTGTAATAAATACAGTATATCACTATTGTAAATATTAGAACACAAACTGTAGCAGCCAACGGTGACATTGTACAGTACAGTATCTCACAAAAATGGTGTGTAATGTCTTGAGACAATGCTGTCTGTTGTTATAGGTAGACATGTTTACTGAAATATTTACAGTAGCTCCTTCTGCCTTCAATTAGAAAAATGGAACTGCTCACTTCAATGACCTTTTAATTTTCCCCATGACTCAGAATAACATTTTCAAGGTCAAACAAGAGATTTTCAAGATTGCCCAGCCAATGTTAATTTGTCATTGTAATTCTCCAAAATTAAACTCTTTTATTCTGCCACAAGATCTCCTATGCTGCCCAGATGACGATCCTAACAAAATGAAAATATAAAGATCTTTTATACATTCAGTTTAAATTAAACTTGACAGTAGACTTTTGTTTTGTTCTGACAATAGCATAGTTATCCCTGCACACGACATGCTGAAAGAATTTAAATTGACCATATGAATAATTACCTTCCTCTTGTGTGTTTTGTCCAAGGCACATTGGTTTTTTTATGTAAGGAAGTGGCTGTATGTGAGCATTTAATCTTGCCTATTTGTGATCCTCAAATCTGGCAATACCACAGCATGAAGCCAGAATGAGAAACTATTTCTTTGACCAAAGCAAATAAGACACTTACTACAGAAATGCGTTTTTCAGCATTGTGAAGACTGGAGCGGATTCCCCTGGCGGCCAGAGAAAAGTTGAACCTGTAGACCTTGTACAGGATCTGGCACTGAGATGTCATGATCAGGAGGATGGGAATGAGAGTAAAGCAGGCAAAGGAGCAGACCACAAAGAGTGCATCCTCAACTGAAGTGTGGTAACTCTTCCAGGCCACAGTACAGGACACACCGTAGGGCTCTGGAGCATATTCTCCCCATCCGAACAAAGGGAAACATGACCAGGCGGCTGCAATGAGCCAGGTAGCAATGCACAGGGCTCGAGTAATGGCTCCCTCACACCATACTACTGAAAAAAAAACAAGAGATACAGATAAACACGACATGACAGCACCAAAATAATTCTGGTACAGTAGATGCATTACTGTATGTTTAGCCATAGGAAAGTATGATAGTTTTTTGGGGAGGAATTGAGTAATAAATTTAGTTTAACCCCCTCCCAGTCACCTCGTACTTCCATTCATGTTCCCCTGAGGCTGAGGAGTCCAAGGAGGATTGATAGTGGCTTTATCTGTGCTCAAGGGTTGCTTTTCCCTAGTGAATCTATTAGCTGCACTGAGCCCCACAACGTGATGGAAGGTGTAGTGAGAGGATATACAGTAGAAGCTGTCGGACTCTCCCACACAGCCTGCGGGAGTCGAGAATCTGAACAGGCAAGCTGAAACACATTATGAGATTTACAATTCTTTTGCTGACAAATATTTATCACTTCAATAATGACTGGTTTTAAATTTGGTTGTCATATAATCAAAAGATGGAGCATTTAATTTTTTCTTAAAATAGATTTTAAAAAAAATACAAATACACTATCTGATGAAATCAGATACAAGACAGTAATGTGCTGCTATTTAAGCAGTTACGTGACTGAAATTCTCATTTCCAACAGTACATGACCTCTTCAGTGCTGCTCAATCCTGATCTTGAAGAATCTGGTCTGCTGGTTTTTGTTTCAGCTCCGCATTTAATCACAGGGCGGTGCCTGTAACCAATAAGGTTGCCGTTTTAGAGTTTTTTGTACCCAGTCTATCCACATGTTTGCTAACTGCTTCTTCCGATTCAGGGTTGTGGAGCCTATTCCTTATTCCTTATTCCTATTCCAGATACACACACACCTAAAGCAAGGCCAATTAAAGCTACTATACCAGTATGGTTCTGAACTGTGACAGCAAACCAAAGCCCGCAGAGGAAACATGGGGAGACCCTACAAACTCCCAGCTCTAAAGCTGCAATGCTAACAACTGAAGTAGTTCAGGTACTGCAGCTGCGTCAGCATGCGTAGGCTGCAAAGGAACAAGTAAAGGTTTATTCCATGCTGAAAAATAAAGAAAGGAAACAACATGCTGACAATGCTTGAACTACTTCAGCTGCGACCCACTATACCTTCCTCTAAATCTTTTTCCTGATCTCTTTATAATTCCTCTTCCCCCTCCCTGGGCTCCTATGCTATATAATCTCTGCTGACTTCCCTGTCTTTTTCACACTCAAAGAAGGCTCCACAGCCAAAATGTTGCATTTCCTTTCTTCTTTTCAGCATGGAATAAACCTTTACTTAGTGCCACTTTGCAGCCCGAGTTGTGCCTAGTTTTTGGCTTCAAAATGTTCAGAATTAAAAAGCATGATTTCCAACACAATTACCACACATAAAGTCGGGTTGCTCCCTTTGCTCCTTGTCGACAAAAAAAAATGCTGCCTCATTTCTGCTTAAACAGCTTTTTACAGAAACAGGTGGCAATAAGAAAAATAGTAATAATAATCATCCTTACACTTGGATAGTGCTTTTCTGGAAATTGCACTCAAAGTAATATCTGGTAAAACTGTAAATTCATAGATGGGGATTATTAGGAGGACATGATTGTAAAGGCCAGGAGGAGCTTTGGACAGATCACCAGAGTAACACCCATACTTTTTTAATGACCACAGAGAGCCAGGACCTCGGTTTTACATCTCCGAAGAACGGCGCCTTTTTCACAGTATGGTATCCCCGTTACTAAACTGGGGCATCAGGATCCACACAGTCTGCAGGATGGATGCCCCCTACTGGCCCCACTAACATCTGTTCCAGCAGCAACCTTAGCTTTTCCAAGAAGGTCTCCCATCCCAGTACTGGTCACGTTTACACCTGCTTACAAAGGTTACAAAGTGAGTTACAGGGTTATATACAGTACAATACTTAATCACTCTCTCCCATGAGTATTTTCTTTCTCCCCAACTCCAGTTGATTATATTTCAACTCGAAATGAATGAGATTTGTAATTGGTGTGACCCCTGTGCTAAACAGAGTTTTGGGACTGGCCTCATTCAAGTTAAGACCAGAAACCTAATTTTACAAATTTATATAGACCAGAAAACATGGGGATAATCCAGGAACAGGACTAAGAACCACTCTGCTAGGGTATTTTTTTAAAAAACAAAGCCGCCTAATCAAGGCTGGAGAAAAAAAAAACAGCCTAAATAAGCAAACAGATCAATTACTGGCAGGTACCTGTACATGGCCCAGGTGACTATGGGTCCATTTGGAACAAATACCAGCTGACACAGGAGTACCACAGAACCAAGGTTGAGAACTACTGGTCTATCATACATCATTGAACATTTTAATTCTTGTAAAGGCGCAGAGCTCAGTATATTAAATACAATGTTTGAAAAGCTACTCAATTGGCTACTTAAAGTCTATTTCTGCATTACAACTCTAGGCAACCCTTTCTCACATCAAATGTATTGTCATTCTTGTATTGCTCCCTTCTAGCACTGAGAAAAGAGACAAAAACCTGTACTTCACAAAGACATACAATATATCTATCAAACATATCATTCAGTCATTTTCTCTCTTAAAAAAGCAATTTGTATCTTTAGATATTTGTTCTCACCATAAGATATATTGTGGCAGGTTTTGAGGTATCTTATCACGCTGATAGCTGCTATAGTAAACATCCCACACAATCCAAACAGAAATCCTCCAAGTCCATAGTATGTGCATGTAGCCTTGTCTCCCAACCAAGCGTGGCTGAATGAGGAGACGATGGAAAGAGGGTAGAGGCATATACAGCAGAGGAAATCCACCAAAGCCAGATTGACACAAAGCAGCTCTGAACTGGTGATCTTCTTCCTCCTTCTGTAGGAAATCCACAAAACCAGCCCATTGCCCAGAACAGACAGCAAAACTGGAGGGAGACAATATAACAAGGGTTGATGCTGTTAAAATGTAGACTTGTTTCCATCCATGTCTGAGACGTAGATGTCTCTTTCATGCATAAAAGTGTCCATTAAGAACTAAAGGCCCATGTCTGGGTACCTTACCTATGCATTATTTAAAAAGACAACGGATGTTATGGTCAACAGGTGGTTTGGAACAGGAAAGAGTGGAACAAATGTCAATCTGTAATTTCAGTAACAGCCACTTTGCCATCCTTATTGTACATATGTTCTGTTATTGTTTCTTCAGAATGTCCCTTAATTTTATATTTGTTATTAAAATAGGTTTAAAGGTTTAGGGGAGAACAACTAAGGGATTAGGCACTTAGAAATTAGAATATAAAGTGCACTACGTATTATATGTGGTAAACCTTTTAAGATAGTAAAAGCAGTATACATTTTAAAAAAAGAAAAATATCCACATACTGTACAATATGATACAAGGCTGTGCATAATGTAGTCATGATGTGGCTGTGGCTTCTGACCTTGGGGTGTCCTTTCCTTTTCTGTAAGACACCCACTGTCTATTCTTAAGTAAAATGCATTGTCTTTCTTCTTGCAAAATCAGTTTCGGAGTAACTGTGATCAAGTGTTGAATTAGTAATGAAATGAAACTGGAAAAAAATATCACAAACCTTTGGAAATGGAATTGAATTAAAATTGACTTTTTTAATGAATCCGATTTTCAGTATAATTTAAATTCCACTAAGCAACACCCGTTTGTTGAACAAAACCAAATCGTAAAGAATTGTTTTAAATAACACGAGGAAAACTGTTCTGAGTGAAGCCAGGCTCAATACCTAACACATCTGTCTGCAATATCCTCACAAACACAGCAAGAGGTATTGTGACTCTTGAACTGATTACAGTTCAGGTTTTCACAGTTCAGAGGAGTCTTAGACAGGAAGATAAAAATTATCCTGTTCTATTTATACCTCACTTATTATCACAAGTGATCTACAAATCTGACCATTGCAATTTAATTAAGAATTCCTTGCATTTCTATAGCACCTTTTATCCCTAAGAATAAAATTTGACAACTCATTGAGGTATAACCCAATGTCTGTCCAGATGGGCTTTGCCAATGGAAAGGTTTAAAGTGACTGAGAAAGATGTGGTTTTCTTCAGCACATCATGTCCCCAGTATGTAACCATGCAGCTGTAAATTTCCATTAGATTTAATTCCTTCACATTTAAAAGGAAACCACCTGTTGTAACTCTGAATATTTATTTAGGTTTATAGGGCCCCTGTAGGATGTGTTACATTTTCTGAGCAGCTGAAGCTATAGTATTTGCATTTTGTGTTACAGGTTAAATGTCATGGATATGTACCTGTATATGTCATTTTCCTCCTTAACATGGTATTTATGGTAACACAGGACACTGCTCATGGCTGTCTAAAATTGAATAAATGCCTGTGCTTTAGAGCTCATATCCTAGAAACAAATGTTCACTCTACTCTTATTCTGCAGAATAGTTTTGGAATAAATTTCATAGCTACACTGAACTGTGCTATCACTTCTTTCATTCCCATATTTTGGTGTCATGAGCTGGATTTAACCTGATCTCCTGAAAGATCAAACAGACATCATTTCTGTCAGAGAGAAAATACTACCTTCCCAACGGGATTACACTATCTCAGTGCAGATCGGGATCTATACTGTGGACGGTTAAGCCATGTCTATATCCCCATGTAATTCAGTGAAGCACACAAGCAATATTGTATTAGAGATTGTAAACTCAAGATAAAGACCTTCCACAAGATGGCAAGAAAACTGAATTTACACAAGTCAGGACACACAACGAGTGTTGTGTTGTTTTTTGTTTCCCTTGCGAAGTACTAGAAGACTGAGGATAAAATATCTAGCAATAATGATGAATATTAATGGACCATGAAATTAAGGTGTTGAAATGGCAGCTGAAGGTGGATCACATAAGCCAGTGAAACAATACGGTATTGATCATAAGGCTTTTTAAAGTATAACATTTGGGAAATTATAACTGGTTACACACAAATAAAGCAATATTTGCCTTTGTCTTGACTTTTAAATCTTCCTACATTTCTTAATTTTCTCCAGTCAGATTTTTTTAATCAGTCTACTTTGCTTAAATACACTCACGTCAATACCTGCCATGCGACACACTGTCACACACACACACCTGTCATGCCTTCTGCAGCTAGAGGGCGCTCATACTCTATCCTGTCTCTAGTTTCTTGTGCTTTGCTCTCCTTCCGGTGGTTCTCTCTCTCTGGGGCTATATATTTCTGGGTCCCTTATTCTCCTTCGCTCAGTATTGATGTTCGGATGTCCTGAGACCCGCCTAGCATCCAGGTCGCCCCATGTCCGCTGCCTGAGGGCATTGGTTTCTATACAACTCCTGAACTGCTGAGCCCGGGCTTTTTCCCCGCTCCGCCGCTATGCATATGGGTCTTTTTCCGCTCTCCTGCCTCTCCACGGTTTATCCCTTCCGACATCTGTGACAACATCAGAGTTCCTAACACAAACAAATGTCTTTTGAGCTTATAAAATTCAACAGTCCTTTCTGCATGCTTTGATTTTCAAAGATTACCGTTCTATTGCCTTCTTTCTTAACTGATGAATAGATCTACTTAACATGCTGCATAACTGTCCACATGCACAGCATTATGCTATGACCTCTTTTACAGAGGTACTGTATCTTTAGTTTCATCTCTCTGTTATCATGGAGTGATGATCTTGTGATCAAAATCAGGTTGCCATCCAGTTTTCATATTTTTTTTGTCAGCTGCTATCTGGATTCTTGAGCAAGAATTTTATCATTGATTCCCCCCTTCCAACTTCCCTTGTGCCTCACAGAGGCATGTAATGGAGGTTATACTGTATGTGATTACTGCTGTTAGTGCTCAACAAGTCTCAATGGCTGCCTTCAATCTAGGAGCACGCATATCAAAAATGAACACTTGTACGTGAAGGTGGGTGAACAACAACAAAAAAACAAATTAGAGAGCCAATTTTACTGATTGTGTAAGTATTCTGCCCCCTAGGTCAATACTTAATAGAAGCACTTTTGGCTGCAATTACTGCTGTCAGTGTTTCTGGATAGGTGTAAGTTTGCCCATCCTTCCTTGCAAAATTGCTCCAGTCCTAACAAGCTGGGAATTACTGATGGTTTGTAATCATCAAGCCTCGCCATAAATCTATTGAATTCAAGCCAAGATTTTGACAGAGGAATTGAAGGACATCCATACTGTTTTTGTCATTTGTTGCTTTCACCTTGTGCTTCAGGTCACCGTCTTTCTGAAATGGGAATTTTCAACCCTGTCTTAGTTTGTGGGCAATTCTGGCATGTTTTTCCTTTATGATGTGCCTGTATATTGCAAAATCTACAATATCAACACCATTTTAGCATCAATCCTAGCAAGCTTCCCAGTCCCTGTTGATGAAAAGCATCCCTATAATATGATTCTACTACCACTGTGCTTGCCTTTTGGGGTGGTGCTCACTGAGTTGGGCCTATGCCATCTGTAAGGCTTTGAAAGACCAAAAAGAATCTGAAATCTATTCAATATCTCATACAAGATTTATAAATCTTTTTTCCAGGAATGTAATCTTTCTTGCATCTCCCCCATACAAACAGCTTGGAGTAGGGAGTGCAATATTGTTGATGTATTGTTAATGCCTTGCTTCCTTCTCAGACTTGGAACTGTTGGCTTCACAGCAGCATCTGGTAACCAGCTTCCTTTTCTGTTGGCTGCTATGTTTGGAATCTAGTCCGTCTGGTATGATGCACATTCCACTTATTGATGGACTCAAAGGGATGTGTAACTTTTCCCCTTTCTTCCCAATATGTTTTAAAAATCCTTAGTCTTCATGGTTGATATGTCTATCACTATAATTCATATCTGATGGAACTTACAGATAGTTTTTATTCTGAACTCAAGTCAAGTTAAACCATTTTGATTGCACAAGGAAACCATTACACTAATTGTGTGTCCTTTCAAACTATACTTTTGCACCTGAACCGATTTAGGGTTCACAGCAAAGGGTTGAAGGTTGAATTCTTAGGCTACCAAGATTTTCTTTTAAAATGTTATTTGTGTAATTCTGAGTATTGTTTTTAGTCTTATCATTTTGTAGTAGGTGTTGTAAATTGTAAAGATAATGCACTATTTGATAGTGAGACGGAGTAACAGATTGCTCAAACTTTCCAAGGAGAAAATACCTCCGCTAAGAACTGTACCAAAAATGCGTTTTGAAAAAAAACTTAACGATTAAATATTCATTATTACACATACTCAAATCTTTTTGGGGTTTTCTTTGCATTTGTTTACCGTTTAAATCCCGCTCGCAAATGTTTATAATCTTTCACAGACAAAAAAACAATCGATATACTCTAAGCATGGCAATACGTTTCTGGAAAATAAAAAAGCTTACCGATAAACATTATGGTAAATCCCACTCCATAGTCTGCTGCTGGTGATAATTTAGATTTATATATTGAGATATTCCCTTCAAACGGCAAAGAACTCACAGGTAAGTATTCCAACATGTAGAACAGATGAGAATTCCGAGAAGATGAAACAAAGTGGTTGAGCTGATCTACAGTAGGACTACAGCCATCCGACAAACATCTCTTAAAGATAGTATTAAGTCGGCTCTACTAACCTGGCAACGAATCACAAAGGCAGTACGTCATTGTCGCCTGCAGCCTAAACATCAGGGAAATTCGGTTCACTGTTTTGTATTTCTTCCCTAAAATAAGATCTACTAATGTCAAAATGTTAGTTAAAACTATTATTTTATCAGTATACATTTGAACTAATAACCTCTTAATGAATGCACTGCCTTCCTAGGAAAAAAACAATTCTGAAGATTAAAATAACTTGCAAGAAAAAAAGGATATACAGTATGTGTTGTAAAAAGGGAGTGCACGGTTTTTCAGGTTACTTCAGGCGTTTTTGGACAAAAAAGAAAATGCATACATTAACTATTTCTCTTCTCATCATCGGCTTTCTGTTCAGGAGCACATTGCGAACAGCGCACCTGACAAATTGCGCCTCAATATCTTCCCAGCCCCCTGCGATGCGGTTTAAACTGCATTTTATCTTGAATTGGCACCACAATTATCACGCTGTACATGCGATTAAAAGTCGCTCAGTTTTTTATAAAATCTAAAAGTGGCTTATATTTTCGGTGTTTAAGGAAATTTTGAATAATATAGAAAGCTTTGGGGTTTTTACCCCAGGTAGATTTAAATAATCGATGTTAAGACCTGGAATGCATGGTGAACAGAAGTGATGAAGAAAATGATTAACTCGATTTGTGTTTTTCAGAGATAGGCCTGAACAAAAAATAATATAAATTGCAGACTAATGAGATAAAGGCCTGAGAAAATACTGTACAAGGGAAAAGACCACTAAGAGTCACCAACCCTGCTGCAAAGTATAGAGTACTGTATATGAAGCAGATCGATGTTTAGAAAAACGAGAGAGGGCAGTAATGGGCTTTCTGTGGAGAGAATGCTAAGTCAGAACGTCTCTTTATTGGTAGTATGGCATCCTGTCAGGGTTTAACAGGGGACCGAATACCGCAAGACTCAATATTGATGATTTTGACGTCTCCAGACTCTTCAAATGACACATGGTATAAATTTAGCATTTAACCCCATTGTAGGGAGTTACTGAAATCAGCCGCATTGCATACACGAAATATTTTTCAGTGTTATTTTCCTACTAATTTATGCAGGCTGTTGAGTGGCACAGTTGATAATCAATTCTAGGGGTGCTATCCGTATAGATTTTGAATGTTCTCCTCACGTTTGCATGGGTCTCCTCCCACACTCTAAAGACATGCTAGCAGGGTAATTGGCTTCTGTAAAAATCGGCCGTTGTGTGCATGTTTGTGTCGTTGAGTATGATATATTGATATCTATCTAGGCAGTAACCGGCATTGCACCAGTTGCTCTGGTTAATGTATCTCTGCGACCCTGTACTGGATAAGGGTATTAGAAACTGGAAGGGCGGAATACATGTTATTTTGCTTAAACTCTTTTTAAGAGGAGGAGACATACCTGTGTAAGAAATCCCTGCTGTAAAAGAAATATACTGGAGGTACCAAAAACAATCCTTAAGCATTAGGGGGGAAGGAATGAATCTTATTGAAAGCCCATTTGTTAAAGATCGCCCCCTTTTCAGTAGTGTGGCAAGAGATCTCCACATGAACCGTAACCGTATCTTTCCCGGATAGCAGTGGCAAGAACCTCTCTCGGTCGATTCCGGTTGGCCGGGTACGCTCATTAACCGTCTTCTTAATTACCGGCGTCCCAACTCGGAAAACGACCGAAGCTGCTACCAACTTTATCCCGCTACAAGTCCTCGCTGATTCGTAGTGCTTAACGAAATCTTTATCTCTGAACTGTCCTTTTAGATACTCAAGCTTATTAAACCGTGAAGGTCCGCGAAAAGAACAATCTCTGACTGACCAGAAACTGCTTTTATTGGGAGCTAAAGTCTTCTGGTGCAGCCAATTTAGTGATTTCCCCGTGAGAATCCGAAGAATGTGGTTCTCCTTAATGAGATGACCCCGCCCCTGGGGAAGTCACCCGTGTTTCCAACCCCTGCTTTGCTACACTATGATATACAGTACAAACACCAAACAGATAGCACCCTAGGAAGTGAACGCAGGGCTTCAGCACTGCATGCTGTTGCACAACCGCACTGCTCACATATACAGTACCTTGTGAAAGTATTCGGCCCCCTTGAACTTTTCAACCTTTTGCCACATTTCAGGCTTCAAACATAAAGATATACATTTTTTATTTTATGTGAAGAATCACCAACAAGTGGGACACAATTGTGAAGTGGAACGAAATCTATTGGATTTTTGAAACTTTTTTAACTAATTAAAAAATGAAAAGTGGGGCGTGTCCCACTTGTTGGTGATTCTTCACATAAAATAAAAAATGTATATCTTTATGTTTGAAGCCTGAAATGTGGCAAAAGGTTGAAAAGTTCAAGGGGGCCGAATACTTTCGCAAGGCACTGTACGTCTCAACAAATCATTACTTTGTGGTTAAGAAAACAAAAAGAACTTACTCTGTGATCAGTGCTTCCCATCTTCTGCGTCCTTGATTTTGCTCCGTTTTGTTTTGGTTTAATCTGACACTTGTTCAAATTTTCTCAGTGCTTTCAGTGACACAACACTAAATAATATCAATTCTGAAAAGTTGGCAACCATTTTATTGTTCATAATATACATAATTGTTACGTCCTGTACAAACATTGCAACGAACCAATGCGTAGAGCACAATTTTGTTTATAAATGAAGTACAGTATATATGCAATAAGAGGTATTAAAAACAAAAAATGAATATTTGAAACTAGCATTCCTTGAGATTTGAATAACTCAGTGTTTGTTAAAAATGTACAGTAGAATGTGATAATGTGCTAAAACAAAACGTGTGATCGTTTTAAAAGGTACTTCATAACTGTAAGACAATAATCTTTTTTTGTTACTTGATTTCATAACCTCCATAGCCCTCTACTCAAGCTTCTCTTCTCTGTCCTGAGCTATAATTATGGACAAGTGCAATCATTTGTTCTACAATGTCCTCACATCTGAGTTTTGTCATTTTAGCTGGTAAAATTACTCAATGGACTGTTTACCACTAGAAGATGCAACTAGTATTAAAAAAACTATTTACACCTGTACTAATGGATTAATTATATTCTGCCTTTCTTGAGATTTCTACTTGCTTCCCCAAACCCTGAAAGATTAAGTGATTTGTGCAGTGAAGCTATTTTTTCACTTTTACATTTGAAAATGTAACTGGATCACATGTCAGGAATTAGTCACAGCCATGTGCTTCTTCTACTGAATATAGTGCTTAGTTGAAAACTTGAATCTTGAAATCACCAAAATTTTGCACAGGATTTATTATTTCAATAAACAATAAACAAACTTTCTAACCCCAATATTACATAAATGTTTGTTTCCCAACAACTTAAAATACAAGGGGAGAGTTTTCTAAAGATTTTAATAAGTCTACCTAAAACACATATTGTGTTACATATAACATTACAATATGTATGATTCATAATCAGTGCCTATAAAAAGCCAACAATCCTTTAAAAATATTCACTTTTTTGTTGCCTAGAAACAAAATAGAATAGAAATGAAAAGTCTTTATCTACACATCCATTCTAGAATCTTTTAGAAAATTTCAGCAAAAAAGCAGAAACAGGGACCGACATTCACCTTTCAGCATGACACCAACCTAAAGCACACAGTAGAAAAAGCAACACTGGAGCAGATTAAGAACAAAAAGGTAAATGTCCTTGTGGGGCCCAGTCAGAACCCAAATGTAAATCCAATCAAAAGTTTGTACCATGACTTGAAAACCGTTGTCCATCAACACTCCCCCAGGAGCTTGACAGACTCGAACAGTCCTGTAAAGAACAGCGGTCAATCATCGCCAAATATAGGTATGTACAGTTGGTAGACCCAACAGACTTACAACTATAAGTGCTATCAAAGATGGCTAAACTGAGTATTAACTCAGGGGACTGGAGATGTATACAATTATGGTATTTCAGTTTGGGATTTTAAATATAGTTTTCCCAATTGTAATGGAAAGTTACAGAGAAAAAGTGTTTTATCCTAAAAATGTTGTTTACAGACAGAGCTGTGCTGCAGAAGCAGCTGGATACTTAGAACAAAGTGTGATAGCACCCAACTTGTCAAGGGCACGGGATGTTTTAATAATGTTTATCTCTGCTGCTTGAAGAAGGGAGTATGAGAAACTATTTGAATAACTGCTCTTCTTTGCTTAAAGCAAAAACCCATAAGAAATGGAAAATTACTGCTTTGCCTGTCCTTGAAGTGTTGCATCAGCTTATGAAAAGATATAAAACAAGGGCTCTCCCTGCTTGCTTTTGAATCAGCTTTCACTTCTCTTCACAGATGGGTGATGACTTTTTCCCATATTGCAACATGAATAAAGACCTTACTGAGTGAATGAGAACACCTCTCCTGGTTCTTCTTAGATAAAATTCCACGACACCATTAAAATCTTTTTTCCCCTTAAAAGTGAGGAGTTAAAAGGTTTAAGGGGGGTAGACTCTGTATATAATAGATATATGCATACAGTATATCTAAGCATAATAGCACCCAGGGAAACACCAAAGTCAGCTGCTGTTGCAGAATGACTAATTATGATGAACAGCAGATTATCACGGAGGTCAGAAATGAGAGGAGTCTTTCAGCTCCTTGAGGTCTAGTTTTCTATTGTCCTATAACCTGGGTGATGCAGCACAGCGTCAGAGAAATATCCAATGCGATTCAGAAATTTCTCAAATGGCCTTAAAAGTTGTCTCAAATGTTGGAAGACATTCAGTCTTTGACTTTTAAATTTTCAATATTCAGTCTGCTTAACCTATCAGCATTAAAAAGGAGAATGTAACATGACACACCGTGATTTGATCATTTGGTCTATAATCATCTGCTCTGACACTTCTTTGTATATTTCTTAAATTTTGAAACAAATTACAACTAAATACAAACCAAAACTTAGACATAAGGATATTCAATTAAAACAGAATAGTGTCAATATGAAACAAAGGAATAACATAACTTACACTAATTACACTTTTATTTTTTAGTCTTCCTTGGAGATTATGGAGTCTTTAGTTTTAATGACCTTATTGTATTGTTTTCAATTACACATATGGGAAGGTTAAATCATTTGAAACAAAAAAGTTTCACTAATAGGTGTTAGTATTAGCCTGTATTCAATGTAAGAAAGTATGGAATTTACTATGGTTATACCATTGTCAAACTAGTGAACATTATATTTTAGCAGTGAGGACAGACAAATATTGGTTAAGAAATGTTTTAACCTTTTAAAATCCTTCAAACAACTTTCATGCATTACAATAGATTCTTCTGATTCATGTTCAGATGACATTTTTGCAGCATGTAAAGGGCATCTATTACCGTGAAACAAAAGTCTTATTTTCAAAATAAAGGCTGCTTAAATTGAATTAAGCATGACTGGATCATCCGTTTTCCTTGTGACTCGGCAAGAAAATTTTCCAATTTATCAAATTTTAAAAATCTACAATTTGTTCACCTAAAAGTAAACACTGCAAATGAATTGTACTAGCTTTCATATAAGGCATATATCACAGAAATACAACACTACAGGGAAATGATTTGATTAGTAAACTTATTTCTGATAATTACAGTAAGTAACGATTTGTTCCACTTTGTTATTAATTTATTTTCACATAACCACAGAAGGGGTTACAGAATTTCCATAAACAAGACTACAATCATCAGCAAGAGGTAAGATCTTTCACACTAATAAAAACTGAATCCTTAAAAACAGTGAAAAGCCAGTCAGACAGATGGATTAAGGCATCACTGTGCTATGATTTTACATAGAAACTCCTTGATTAACCTTCAGGGCGCTAAAGATAATGATACATTCTTGAACAGTAATGTTCAGAGTATGTGCTATTCTTTTACAAAATTCTGCAGCTTTTTACCAATGAAAAAAAACATTGATGCCCCCCCCCCCCCAAAACTATACTACAAAATCAATTTCTTAGCACAATGGCAGTCATATTTTAACTTTTTTTAACACACTTCTCAAAGCACCTCTAACAAATTACCCCAGTGCAAAAATTAATCGAAGAATAATTAGGACAATGTGAATTTTATTAAATTTTAAAGTAAGAACCATCAGAAGGTCAGATTGTACGGAACCAGAGCAGAAATTAGCTAGGACACACAAACGGGGTTAAAACATCTACTTTTACAATTTAAGCCTTGGGATTTTGATGGCAAAGTAGTCCCAACCCTTAACATCCGATTTGAATGATGGCATGTTCTACAGCACAGTATCCTCTTTCACTATACTGGGCTTAGGTTACATTGGTTTGACATTTTGGAGCATAGGAAAGAACACCACTTATTGGTCAATCATGGTAACAACATGGTTTTCTTAGGAAGTCCTCCCCTCTCTATACTTACTGATCAGGTTGCTTACTTTCCTAGAGGTGAAGGGAGACAATGTGTCAATAACTAGTAGTTGTTAATCAGAAACAAGCAATTTAAATAAAATAATAGCATAAGGAAGGTTACAAATTAGAAGGTGCCATTAGGTACATTTTGCTTCCTTGGTTTCCAGTAGATAAACGCTCCAAGGATCTCAACCAGCCACTTCCTGAAAGAACCCAGAGTATCCATTTCAACAACATGGCTGACTAGCACATTCCTGACTCCGACAAATTTTAGTATCTCCTGGGTCTCAGTTCTAAATCACTTCTCCGTAGTTTTACCTTCTCCTATTGCTGGTCCAAAGTTTTGTTTAGCTATTTTTTTAAAGCAACGAAAGAGTGATCCGAAACATTGTGTACACTCAGATATGAATAGACTGGAAAATACTATAAACGATGTAAAGGACAGAGTCTTAAAAAGTAAAATTTGTTCTTAACCTAGCACCATTATGAATAAGAGTCTCCATCAGTGAATGGCGGCACAGCAAAAGTATATTACTAGAAGAGTAACTAGTAGCTAGTCAGGACATGCACAGCAAATAATACAAAAGAATAGAAAAGTGAATAAAAAGAGGTCAACGCCTCTTCTTTTTTTCAAAATTCATCTTTGATCTTGAAATTTGGCTGATCTTCCGGCCTGAAGTCCTTATTTGGGCTGCCATCTTCATTAAGAATGCGTCTGGCTGTGTAGCCCACAATTGGGTACTTAGCTTTGTACACGTCCTGGAAAATGCTTTCAAGTGACTGCAGCTGTTCTTCTGTGAGCCCAGCCTGTCATAATACATAAGACATAAGAAATCATCAGAGTTATTGAAAGAGCTGCAGGTTACAATTCAGAGATCTCTGGGTCCACCTTACTCATTAGGTTGGTAGAAACTAACCGATTCTAAAATCCTATAGAGTGCAAGCTTTTGTTTCTGTGTTAGGAGATGCTGTATTTGTCTATGTTGGTCCTGGCAGGAATTACTTTTGTTAAGGCACAAAAGTGCTCTAAAAACTCAAGTTAATTTCTCCCATAAGCCTGCAAGAGTTGTGCATTAACAATACATTACATTTTAACACAATAAATAATACATAATATGTAATAAATGCATACAAATAAATACATAATACATTGTACAGTATGTTAACTGGAACATACAAATAGATTGAAGCATCATTATTTGAAAAATAAATAACCTTAACAAACTGAGATCTAAGAACTGAAGGGATAGATATTTCTCATCTTTTGCAAATTAGTACTCTCATTTGGCTGTAAAGAATTGAATTGGTTTCGCAAAAAGGGGGGCAACTTAAGGCAATAAAAGGCTTGAAAACTGAAGTTTGCAATTCTGAAATAAGAAATTTATTAGAGAGGAAATGCAACACTATTCTTACATGTGATGCAAAAGCAACCTTATTGCATTGTAAACAATCTTTAGTCCAAGGAAACCTTGTGACTATATTCATATGAAATATTTTCCTGAAACCACACTCTCATTTACATTGATGATTATTTTTATGGTAAATAACACCTAGAAGAAAAACTCTAGCAGGACTTATAGTTTTGGAGGACTTGCAGTGCCTTAGACCATGCCTGAACTGCCGGTTTGGATGAGGGCAAATGAATTGAATTCAATGTGATGTATGTCTCGTATATCTTGCACGAGATTTGTGGGCCTCAACAGATGTCAGATACCAAGACGTACAGTGTCGTAAGTGAGGTCCTCTGGATCAAGAGACATTTTGGCCACAGCTTTTGTGCAGTCCTTCCCAGTCAAGGCATTATAAGGTGCACCTTTTCCATAGAATTCTATAAGAACAAGAAAGTGGAATGCAGGAATTAAACTCTTTATCATGGTAGCAACGATATCTTACTCACCCAACACAACAGTAGGCAAACATTTATACCACATACTGACCTATAAACCAAACCACTTTATAGCTTAAAATTCTTAAGAACCCCAGTGCTAGGGGATTTCTTGACTAAAGAACTAAAGATCCTTGCCGATCCTTCCCACCCTGTCAAACCTCTGCTTACTTTCCTCCCCTCTGGTTAGCGGCTTAGGCGTATCAAGACAAGGACTGCTAGGTTTCATAACACCACCTACCCGGAGGCTGTGAGATCATATGAGCTCACCAAACCAAATACCATGTAACTAGTTATGGCAATAAAGTATTGAACTGGAACCGACTTTCATTCAGGTGGGTGCTGCACCTTGGTGGTGGTGGAGGGGAGTCCCCATTACCTGTAAAGCGCTTTGAGTGGAGTGTCCAGAAAAGCGTTATATAAGTGTAAGCAATAATAATAATAATTATTATTATTATTTAAGTGAACGGAAACCTTTATTACATCTTACTGCATGTCATATGCACTCACTCACTGCACTCACATTTTGAGTAGACGTTTTTGTGCAAAATGTGAAAATGCAAATGCTATTCAACTTACTTTTTCTAAAAACTAAAGTGGCCTAATTCATACTGCAGATTTTCTTTGCTGATCAACTAAGAAAACATGAAACATGAGGGTTTCAATTTTTTATACAGTACACAATGAGATGAAAACAAGAGTACATTAAATCCATTAGAACTGGCAACCTACAAGTGGTGGAGAAAGTAATATAAAATAACTACATAATCACTATGTGCAATGAGTGTGACATTTACACATCATGAAATACAGTTTACCCACATCTGGAATTATCTAGGAACTATAGAGGACCATTCTCCTACAAGAAAAATCAAATGCTGGATAGGTTCAGATCTGGAGACCAAGATCCCCATGACATGGATAATATCAGAGTCATGCTCATCACACACCCTGTCATGTGTGACCACACATGCTCTTTAGATGTGGGCATTGTTATCCCCTCCTGGCAAGTAGAAATGCTGCAAGAAAGGGGGTGAGGATGATCACTCAGTATCGTTAAGACAATTTGTCCTATTACATTACAGATGCACAAAAACATGTTACTGTTGGAACCAGTGCTCAAGGTTGTAGAGTTCTATAGTTTGGTGCCACACATACAGTTACCCGTTTCTTGAGAACATGGTGAAGGATGATTTATCTGACCAGATCAGAAATTTTGCACATTGCCTGTGCTCTTTTCACCACTGGACTCACAAATGTGCATTGCCAAATGTAATGAGCAGTTTTCATGCTGCCACCTGACTATAATATCCTGCTCTGTGGTGAATTGTTTTGATTACTCTGGTTGGTTGCATTCTAGGTAGAAGTCTGTAGTCAACTGATCTTTAGTTTTTTGCTTGTTTTGCCTTGCACTTCCAAAAAAATGTGGATTTCACAGTCCTGGAGCGAGCATTTTTCTACACGACCCTAAGCATACTGGAATATCATTTACTTAATTAATGAGCCACACCTGAATGGAAGCCCTTGCTTTTACAGGACTTGTTGTCCCCAATATACCCAGGTGTTTTCATTTTTTGTCCACTACCTGTGGTAAGTGTCTAAATAGCTTCAAGGAAGCAAAATTTTCCAGGCTTAAGAAAAATAAATGTTGCATGACTTTTTAGAAGTAGTCTTCTTTAGAAGAGTAGCATAGGGATCCCTACTTGGGACCAGTGATTTTCTAAAATTACATCAAATATTTGTATTCTGTCATAGTCCATTGAATTATTCACGTTTGCAAAGGATACAAAACTAGCAGGACATGAAACTGCTGAGAAGCAATATTGAAATTTTCACAACTTTCAAAAGAAACACTGAGCTTTAACTGACTTCCTAAGAAAAATGTATTGATATTTTCCAGTTCTAGGCAATGTGGTTATTCGTAATTAAACCTAATAAAAGGCAAATCAAATACAATGACATATGGTTAAAAGTGTAGACTTTATTTAGACATTATGTTACAATTGTGCAATAGACTGATAACACCTAACTTACAATATTACTATGCAATTTGGCTACCATATTTTAACAAGATATTGGTCTTTTTGTAATCAGTTCAAATAAAAACTAATCACTGTACTTACTGACTCACACTGTTCTGAATCCTTTAATCTTGAACACAGAAGACTATAAATTGGATTGTATTCAGAGTCTTCAAAAGCAGTGGCAAGGTCAATCCAATAGTTTTTCAGAAACAGAAGAAGATGCAAATGAAAACTTCACGTGAATGCTCATAAAACTGAGAACAGGAGGCACTGTTTTAAACAGAGGGTTGTATGTACGAAAAAGGTCTAAAACATACTTAGAAATGAATTAAATTAATTGAGTTTCTTGGATACTTGAAATACTAGCAGCCAAAGAACAAAATACGTCAAATGGCTTATTTCCATTTGTAACTTTCCTTATGAAAAATGAATGTAGAATATTTTTAATTTACCTTTTCCTGTAGAAACATCAAACACCACTCCTTTCACTGCCATGTAAATAGGATGGTCTTCCTGTAAAAAGAACACTAATCCTTCAGTGGGCTGGGTGTTATATAGGCCAACTATTCCAAATAAAACTGAATACATCTTGCAAGTGTCTTTCTTAAAATATGCAACAAAGTTTAGCAACCAGTCTAAGCCATCTTACTTCTGTTGCAACACAAACCACAGGTTATACTGGAAAGTTATTAACGTAGCTCTCCTTTTCATTAAAATTGAACTGACCTCTTTCAAACAATGTTCCCTGTTAAGATTTCTGATACATTTCCTTTACCAGGAAACACGGATATCATTTAAGCAGACATAAAGTAAATTAGTAGTCATTTCATTATTTCTAAGATTTCTTAGATGTGTAATACTTTTAAATTTGTTGTTAAAATAAGTAACCTGTGTTTCTGAAAATCTGTTATTACGTTGTATTAAACTATGTTCTGTTCTAAAGATTCTCGCAGTCCAATGCTAAAATACTGCCTTTTCCTAAGTAGCGTGAAACTGCTTTTTGTTCATTAGCAGAGAATAATGATTTAACAAGTTAACTGATCAAACATAATCCCAACTCACATACTTTTTTCATTTTGTAGTTCCGTATACCTAACACAAAAACAACACCTTACTGCATACCATGCCCAAGCCATGAGTGTCTGTATGTCTTTGAAAATACAGTACGTGCTGCAACAAGCACTAACTCACTGCAACTTACCTGTTGTCCATTGTATTTTGCCAAGTCTTCGTCTGTGAATAACCTAACTGGCTTGGTCTCTGCAGGTTTGTGTTTCAACTTTAAATCTTCCGAGAAGCCCCAATTTACAATCGCTAAAAAAATAAAAATTAGGCACATATGGACAGCCGGCATTTTCTCAAGATATTAAAGCTTCAAGTTAAAAAGCAGCAGCAATACTTCCGTCTCCTATACAGCCATCTGGCGCAGCTGTTGTTGTAGTAGTAATAGTAGTAGCAAGCTATTCAATGGGAACTCTGGGAAATGTAGTCAAACTGGTAACCTTCATAAGAAATGTGCTCGAAATGGATGGAGGGAGTTGTAAAGGAGTGTATAAGAGAAAACCTTACATTCATATTTTACGTTCTATTGGAAAGAAGTAAAACAGAGTCACAAGAAAAAGTAAAAATGAATTCTGTTCAACATGAGGAAGGAGCGTAATATAGTCCAGAAAAATAATCTAGAAAACCAAAGATTGTTTAATTTCAACAAAACATACGATGTTTTGTCTCGTTTTTTCTCTAGCTTTGTATTTTCATGCCATTATTTTCCCCCATAAAAAGAACGTTTTGCCGTGTGAATCTACGTTAAATTAGACACTATTAATATATAATGCAATGAATTATCATTATAATAATGCAAATTATAAATAAAACTTTCAAAATATAATTCACAATACTTGTGGTGTATTTGGTAACTCTTAAAGTGTTAAGTATATATGTTCACTTTAAGTAACTGATATTTTTTTAAAATTAGAACACTCCTAAATCTTCTTCATGAACAGTTTACGATACATACTGTATTCATATATAGTTTATGCTGTATATGCAATTGCTTTATTTTTCCCTAAAAGTGATTATTTCTTTACTTTAAAAATACAATAAACATTCAGAGAAGATATTAACATATGAACTACAGAAGAACATTGCATTTTTGCATTTTTTTTTACATTACAGAAGAAAATTATAAAACTATACCCAGTTTTTGACATGACTAGATTTCCAGTGAAGAGTGGAAATTACAGTAAATAGCCGGTGATGTAGTTGATGTCCAAGGCTATTTCTGGGCGATATATCCCCCTGCAGCACTGAGGTAGAAGTAGGCACAGTGACTGAGCACAGTCCCACTTATTCTTCCACAGGGCCCCCCGAACGCAAAGGAGAGAATCTCTGCTTTACTGCAGTACTGGCCGATCTGTTTGCGGCTTGCCCTTTCTCGTTTTGTCCGCTCAGATACCGCAAGCACCTACATAAGAGCTCATTAAGAACTCCAGTGTATCTAGTTCTTTACACCATGGTTTAGGATATGATATTGTACTTGAATTGAATACATCTAACAACTCTATAAATTGGCTTCATTACTCTGCTCTCCTCCCCACTGATCGCTGATGTGTGGTGAGCGTTCTGGCGCGCTATGGCTGCCGTCGCATCATCCAGGTGGGGCTGCACATTGGTGGTGTTGGAGGGGAGTCCCCATTGCCTGTAAAGCGCTTTGAGTGGAGTGTCCAGAAAAGCGCTATATAAATGTAAGCATTTATTATTATTATTATTATTATTATTATTATAACTCTGGAGGTGGAGTGCACACGGAGCCAGTGCTAGAAAATTTTCTATTTTCATGAGGCTGAAGTGCGATCCGAGCTTTTAAAAGGTAAACAGCAAGTACAGTCAGGCTACTTAAATCACATTTTCAATGTTTACTTTTCTGTGTATCAATAGTCGGTAGCATTGCATTGTTTTTATTAAACATTTATTTTTCTATTATTTGTTTGTGTGGAGAGAGGGATAAACACCTGTAGTTTGCTTATTTTCTTGTTACAATTTTCCGTACACCAGGTACAGAAGTTTATAGCATTTGACACTGTGTTTAATAAAACCATCTAATAATGTGAAAGCAAAATAAATAGCATGAAATGCGTAACAACTTTCGATAAAGGATTGCCCTATTAAGAACTGTTTTAGTCCTATTAAGTGAATCAAGTGTGTAACCGTTTTAAACACTTACTTGAATGTTTCTAATCTCGTAAGTGATTTAAGCTTGCTTTAGGTACAGACCTAGGTCTTCAAAAAAGCCTTCTTTTCAGAAATACTCCGTTGATCCATATCATTAAAACTAACGATTGTTCTGTAGTCATAAGGGCATCCCATGCATGCATGTAGACAAACATACCTGGCATCCTCAGCTTATATAGCATGTGAAAAATTGTCTTAATCATATTCACGCTATCACTTCTCTTCAAAAGCCTCGATACCAGCATCTGAGTGGAAATGGAAGCTATCAAAACTTTAACCAACTTTAAACACATTGATATCTTGAATTGCCATCGCTTATAACCACAGCTGCAATCTTTCTGCATCTATACTGTAGGTTTCTAAAGTGGCGCCCCCTGTGGATTGATGTATGTCCCTGCAGCTGTTCAGATTTAATTCATTGAGAACAACATTTCCCATATACCCGGGAAGTTAACGTTTCCTGTATATATATAGTATAGTATATTCTTCTCATTCCGTGCAATTAAACAGTGCTCAGTTGTAGCTGATCAGTGAAAATAACTATGATAAACTTTGTATTTTGTTTTTGTGGTTGGGTAGGGTTTTATACCCAGTTTTGCTAACGACGGTGTTGTAAGCTCTTCGGAGCTGAAGCTGATATATGCTGATACGATGATGAGGACGGAAACCTTCAGATCTTACCAAGAGGTACAGTGAATTCTTGTTTTTTTGTAACAGATTGAATTTGTATGTCATGTATAGTAAGGTATATTATATATCTATATCTTCCTATCACCGAAAAGATCAATTTGGAGTTCGGTTGTACAGTATGTGTCCCTTCATGTCTAAAGTTTTTGAATTTTGAATTTACATGCAATTAATATTAATTTAAGTTGGAAGGAAGTTCTCTAATAAGATCTTAAAGAACTACCTGTTGCCTGATAAAAGCTTTTATTCTTTTAGCGAGTTGATTGTTTTCTGTACGTGTTGAACTACAGTTGTTACACGACCCGCAGTTGTATTAGTGTCAATAAATTAATGACAGAAAATAATCAGGCCCCTAAACTGATGTAAGTTTCAGGTTTATTAAAAGTATTAGTGACTCCAGGCAAATTACGCACTTCGTCAACACGTTTTGCAAAATAGCTCCCAAACGAAGAGTAGTCTTTCTGTGAAATGTTAAAAGCTTCAGAAAAAGCGCAGTCTCTGTACGAACCTGTACTCTCTGATAATGATAGGCTTTTGGTTGGGTCCTGTGTCCTAACTTGTCTGAAGGGCCATACCCAAACCCTAAATTGTATCATACAATTCAGGAAACTCTCCATTTTGCATTTGAGTTTAGCTCTACCTAAATACACGCACCTAAGTGAATGACAGTGAAAATTGCAGACGAACGTTTGCAGGTACAGCAAAAGATTCTTTATTGTTTAAACAAACTACACTGTTCCACGGTGTTTGAAAAACCTAAGAATCGCATCCCAATAAAGTACTGTACCTGGAAACAAAGTGAACAGCTGGCATTCTTATTTTTGTGTGATGCTGGTTGACAAACACGTGGTACATCGTTTTTTATTCATAATACTTACAGATTGCTAAAACAACCTTCTCTTCCTGAAAGCTTCGCAATGGAAATTTGCACTGCTTCTGTAGGAATTCGTGAGTATTATACAGTGTAGTTTACACTGTAAAATTCATACCTGTAGTTTTCTTTTCTTTTAGTTTAACGATGAGGTTGAACAGGATCAGAATTTGGAAAACACAGAAGCAGAAGATGTCAACGATGGAATTTTACCAGGTAGAATGACAATGAAATAATTGTAATTACTACAGGCTATGAAACTAGACCTAATTCCTCTGCAGCATAACAGCACAAAGACTACTATTATAGAGCATGATTTACTGGTAAATAGAATTGTTTCTGGAATATCAAGTAGGTAATTAAACCTGGTTTTAAGCGGTAACTAACAAGAACTAAAACTAGTCTGAAATTATTAAGATGAATTGTGAAAAATATAAAAGTTGCATTTTATTAGGATCCGTTAAGAGTTTTGAACATTAAACTCATATTTTAGAATATGCAGTATTTGAAACCATTAAAGATACTGCTTCCAGAAGAGAAAACAGCATTAAAATGGGGTGAGTGCTAATCCCTCAGTTGTATCTAATGTTTTTTTTTGTCTGGTAGATGTGGATGATGGGACTGGTAGCAAAAACCCTTCCATGGGGTTCAGCAGGACCTGCCTGAAGAATGTGTTCTCTGTTATTCTCATCCTCATCTACCTGCTGCTCATGGCTGTGGCTGTATTTCTGGCTTACCAGACCATCACTGACTTCCAGGACAAGCTGAAACACCCTGTGATGTCTGTCACGTATAAAGAGGTGGACAGCTTTGAGGCTCCAGGTGAGTCAGGTTGCTCATTAAATGTACAGAAGATGGTGAGAAAAAAATATTTCTTTATCTGCATACAGTACTGGGTGATATGCACAGTTTGCTTGGTTTATTGAAAGCCTCATACATATATAAATAAACCTATAACTTGTTCCTTTACATATATATACTGAATACATATTGTTCTTCCAAAGAAAGTTGCTGCTTATACAGTAACTGCAACAAATTCACCAAGGTGTCATTGGCATTTTATTGACTGGACATGACAGAGGTATATAATGCTGATTAACATTTATTATCAACAGGGCGTCTACTATAAATGTCACAGGCTAGTAGTTTGTATGGCCACCGCTGGAAGCAACACAAGCTGTACATCTGTAGTGCATCCTTTGCAACAGGCTGTAAATGCTTTTCTGTGTCACACTCTCATTTAGCAAAAGAGCCATTGTCACACCAGCAGCATGAGAACATGAACCCACAGGAAGGGCAGCAAGTGAGGTCTCAGGATTTGATCAATGTATAAATGGAGTTTTGTAGTGACAAAACGCTCCTGCTCAGTCGCACTCCCCATTGAAAAGTTTAGTTTCCGAGATATTCAACTTAATTGTAACCTAATATATAGGTTACAATACATTAATTTACTGTTCACAAAATCTACAAGAGCACTGAGCTATCAGTGTAGATGTTGCATATGTGGCACTCCCAGCTTGCTCCTTGCACTTGAATTATGTCTCACAAGAACATCCCATGACCACACCAGAAGGCCAGTCTTCCATTATTTATGAGAGATGGCTATTACACTGACTGATTGTATTATACATTATAACAAAGTGCTTTACAGGTAATGGGAACTCTCCTCCACCACAAATGTACCCACCTGGATGATGTGATAGCAGCCAAAGTGTGCAAGTACGCTCACTACAAATCAGCTTTCAGTCGGGAGGAGAACAGAGTAATGAAGCTAACTCATAGAATGGGATTATTAGGAAGCCGTGATTAGTAATGGCCAGAGGGAAATTGGGCCAGGATACTGGGGTAACACCCCAACTCTTTTCAAGAAATTGTTACGATCCCTTTCTCCCGGCAACGGAAGAGGAAGAAGAAGGCGTAGCCTTACTTCATCAGTCTACCTATCAGTTTACTTATTCACCACCACACCCCCGTCTCATCCTGTACTTAAACACCTGTCTTTTCCTACCTCCTCGCTCAGTATTGGTTTTCCTTTCGAGCTTCCTAGTTGCGCTACTCCTTCTTCTGCTTTGTGTCTTTCTTGGTTCTCGGATTATGGTTTTTCCCCCTTTGACGACGGTTTTTTGGATCACGGCTTGACTTCGGTACTCACTCTGTTTTGGATCTCTGGCTTCCCCTGGACTCTCGGATTGCTCTATCGTCTACAGTTTCTGATCACGGTTTGGCTTCGGTAACTCGTTCCCTGTTTGGATCTCGGGCTTCCCCTGGACTCTTGGCTCGTTTCTTCGACTACAGCTTTCTTTGGATCACGGCTAGGCTTTATCAGCTCCTGCAAGTGGGTTCATTCACTGGTTTCGGTTTCTCTTACCGAATCCCTAACAGAAATACCCTGGCATTTTTAATGACCACAAAGAGGCCCTTGGTTTTATGTCTCTTCCAAAGGACAGCACCTTTCTAGGGTATAGTGTCCCCAGCACTATACTGGGGCATTACGACCCACACAGACCACAGGCTGAACACCCCCTACTGGTCCCACTTCCAACAGCAACCTTAGATTTTCCCAGTAGGTCTCCCATCCGGGTACTGACCAGGCTCACACCTACGTAGCTTCAGTGGGTTGCCAGTTGTGAGTTGCAGGTTGATATAAATACGGATTATAATGTGTGTGTACATACACTGTACAACATACAGTGTTTGGAAACAAGTACAGGTAATTCCACAATTAAGCTAAAAAGAAAGAAGAAAAGACAGCATTTTGCCTATGGACTTTTCATCGTGTGAAGATTTCTAACAGATATACAGTACACGCTTACACGCCCTAGTGATCTTTACTTTGTACTTTAACCACAATCTGTCATTGTTCTTATGCCAAACAATGGATTTTGAACTCGCATAAACTTTTCCCAATCACAAACATGACATTAGATAAACATGTTGTTGCAAAGCCTCAGTTGAACAACTCATTATTTTTCAGTTACGTTTACCATTTATAAGACTTTTAAACAGTATAACCTAATTGTAGCAATATTGGTGGAACCTATAATATGTGTTTTATTTCCCCACAGGTCTTTCTACTGGTGAGAGAGCACAAGGGTTTGTGTGTGTTTTAGAGTTTTACCTGTTATACATTAGCTGTTCCCAAGACAATGTTCAAGTAAAGAAAGCTAATTTTACAGAGTGATATCATTATTATGGGAATAGCCCTGCTTGAAATACTAGGTTGAAAGCCTGAAGTACAGTATGTTGCTGAGTTGAACGAGCAGGTTGGAGAGTATCCAGACTCGCAGGGCAGCTTATCTACTCCAAAGGCCGCTCGTCAGCTGACAGTCATGCTGCTCTTTCTGTCCATAAATGCTCTGCTTTGTGAGCTGGGACACAAAACTGCCCCCATGCAATTGGATCTAGTCTAAATGAAATGGTAAGGGAGTGTAGAGAATGACCTTGCATTTTAGCTCCTTTATTTTTTCCAAGACGCCCGGGTCTTCACTTTCAGCTGCTTTTTTTTAGGTTTAATTTACATTAAAAAAAAATCTTAAGTTTCAGCTCTTCGTGCTGGTGTTCTGTCATTTGTTTCCTTAACTGCATCAGCTGACCCAAAAAACATTTTGAATTTTTATTTGTTAGCATTTTTTTGTTGTTTTTGTTGTTTTTGCTGACACAGGGTTTTGTTGTAATGTGGAAAATTTATCTTCCATAAAGACTAAATGCTTGCCAAGCGCACTGAAAAGCATTAAAAAAGCCGGCATTGTTTGAATGAATGACATAAGGTTTTTTGTTACTGTTGTTAAGTTTAATTAAAATTGTGTCCCTACAGTATGTATTACACATGAACTAATTTATGTTTCCCAGGAATTGCTCTTTACCCTGGAAAGGCTCAACTTCTGAGCTGTAAGCACTATTTCCATGACCACATGCCCCCTCTGGTTAAACCAGGACAACCTGGAGAAGTGGACTGTGTCAAGGATCACATTAACTACACAGACCCCTTCACTAATAACACCATGGTAAGGAACCAGGAATATAAGTACTGTACAACTGGGCTTGTATGGGACATAATTCCCAACCACATTGACTACAATTCTGTGACATATGATATATTATAGAATTCAGCTGTTCAGCACTCTTTGTAAAGCTTAACAAAATGTTTTGTGTTCCATAAAAAGCTTTGGAACAAGTCCTTTTATGAAACCCATGGAAGAAAAATATCACTTTTGTATACAAAATGAAGTGTTGTTTCACTGTTTGAAAGCCTGTTATGTTTTGAAATTCTTGTAACATTGTTTAAAATCCAATCACCATGTTGATTTGTTGTTTAAGTATGCAGTGGGCTCAAGTATTATTGGCACCCTTGATAAAGCTGAACAGAAAAAGCTGCATAAAATAAATCACACAGATAATCTGCATTTTCTGTGCAAAAATGGGAAAAATACAGAGTTTTAGTCTAATACAATTATTTCAAACCAAATGTTTTTAAATGAGTACCTTTTTTTTCTCAAAAACATAGGTGTCAAAATTATTGGAACCCCTGTGTCTAGTGCTAGTTTTTTTTAAAGAAAATCAAACAAAATAAAATCTGCAATGAACGTCTGCTCATTTAAGTACAATTCAGTCCTAAATAATCTTATTTTGAATTTTCTCTTTCACAAGAGTGTAAAAAACAGGTAACACACGTGGAAACCTTTACTCATCCATTTCATCACCATGGGGAAAGGTAATGGAGGACATCAGTTGAAAGTACATAAAAAGTTACATACCCTGTATACCACTTAGCACTACTAGGACATTAATCACAAAGTGGTTAACTTACCAGGAAAAGGTTGCAAGTGCATCTTGTCCTCACACACAGTGAGGAAGATAGTGAGAAAAAGAATCCAAGGCTCACAGTTGGGGAACTGCATTGTCTGGTTGCATCTTGGGATCTCCAGATTTCCAAATCAACAATTAGAAGGCACATCCATGCCAACGGGTTGCCAGAAGAAAGCCCTTACTAACAAATTGAAGCAGCTGGAGTTTATCAAACACTATTGTGACTTTGATTAGAACCAGCTATGGTCAGTTGAGACCAGAATTGAACTCTTCGGCCACTCCTACCATCAGTACGTGTGGTATCAGAAGTTACAAAGAACAGAACCTAATACTCACTCTGAAAGGTGGCAGTGGTTGATGTTGTGTAGCTGTTTTGCTGCCACTGGCCCTGTTTATTGTCAGTGGCATCATGAATTCTACCAAGTATCAGAACAATCTGACCAAAAACGTGCCAGAAGTTGTGACTTGGTCACAGGTGAACCTTTCAGCATGACAATGACTCTGAACACACCTCAAAATTAAAAGAGAAATGGTTGACTTAATACAAAATCTACATTTTACAATGGCTGTTCCAGTGTCTGGACATAAACGTGATTGAAAACCTGTTGTCTGAATTGAGAGGGCGTAGACCTAAGGATATCAAAGATCTGGAAAATGTCTGCATAGATGAATATACCAAGTTCCTTCCCAGTGTGTTCTCCAACCTTATTACACATTATAGGGAAAGGCCTTGTGCTGTTAAATAGCATTACTCATTTGAAAACATTTGTTTTAAAATAAAATGCCTGTAGTTTTCCCATTTTTTGCAGCATAAAATATATCTGGTTATCGTTGCTATATATTTTATTTTTTTATTTTGCCAATAATTTACTCCACTGTATTGCCTCTAAAAAGAATGAGTGACAGAGTCAGAACAGTAATTGTTGCTTAAAGGTAGATAATTTATATTTAGGATCATGGGGTATAAGTGGATATTAAATAGAAATAAGTAAATGCATGGCACTGCTTATGGTAACCTGAAATCACTGGGTTGAACATATTGATTTGTTCTAATATGGTCAAATACTGTATGTACTGTACATGGTGTTACTCACAAAATATGCATTACATTGTCCTTGTCCATATGAACTTCATGAGCATGAATACAAAATTGCTTGGCTGCAAAGCAATAGTAACAGTTTTGGCCTTGCTGTACAAAATGTGTGAAGGCCATGGTAATTAGAGTGATTGTTCAAGCCCTGTTTTTCTTATTGTTAGTTGGGGAGTTATTTTTTATCATCTTTAAGTCGGGTGTATTTTTAGTTCTCAGAAAGTTCTCACAAATGTGAAGAATAATTTGTGCTTGTGAGGTTCATATTTACATTAAGATGTTACATACAGTAGCTCTCTAAAGATAAAGAATTGTGTTATGGTTGTAGATCAGTGCAATTTTAGAGTGGAATCTGCTGTTCCCATGGAACCTTAGCTGTAGCACATACATTACTGATTACAATATCTTTCTTGTTCATGTTCAGAACACAGAACTTCTGTGTACACTTACAATTACAATGGTACTTTCATAGGTTTCTAAAAACTGTACTAGAACTTTACTGCATTTTGTCAGTATTACTTATTTTAGTATGAACTGTATATCTATATAATCCTTTCCAAAGGAAATGTGCAGTGTTTCAGACTACAATACGTGATCTATACAACAGGTTCAGCCAGTACAGCCAGGGCCCAAGGATCAGCTAAGTGAGCAGTAATGTACAGCTTCAGCAGTATTTAAAGTGCCCTTATCAGGAACTTCTTTCACTCAGTGGGTCAAAAGTATTCTATTAATAATGGAGAATGCTCCCTAGAACTAACCCTCTAGTATTATTCAAATCACTGTACTAAAGTGATTAGAACTAGCTTTGTAGCATATGGATATGAATAAAATGTACTACTTCCAAGAATGTGCACACAGCAGTGTCACAAATGAGTTGTATGTTTCTACCAGAAATTGTACCATGGGCATACCTTTTTTTAACTTGATTATAGACTGAAGTTATACTCATCAGCCCAGATAATACAGTGGTATTATCATTTGGTCACCTCCTTATGGGCATTTCTGCTGCTTAGTCTGCACTGTCTTGAGTACTACATATCCAAGCTCTTAAGTTTAGTTAATAGCAAAGTGGGAATTAGGAATTGGTTTGGCTGGTGAGTGTAGGAGCTGTTAACTGGTCTGAGCTGACGTATTCTTGAATAAACAGTAAGAGGTGAATAAAAGATATGGTGCTCCGTATGGCTGTTACAGATGTTAATAGGTTAAACACTGAGATTTTAACATTCTTCTTAACCCTGTCCTTCTGCCTCTACAGAAACATGCTCTGGTTGTTCAAGGGCCAACAGACGTCAGAAAGAAGGAGCTGATTTTTCTGCAGTTCAGCCAAAACGAAACCGAACAAGATTTCAGTGCCATTAGCTACCTGCTCTTTTACTCCTTTAAAGAATTTAAAGGAAGGTAAAAACTGGGGACAGGTAGAAGGTTTGGGGAGGCAATGGGGAAAAAGGACCTGTTCAGTTTCCACTGAACCAGTTGGGCAGTAGGCAGCTGTGTGGCAACAGTAGCGGAGCCAAAAGGAAACACTTGCCAACGTGTAAAACAATGGCTTTGGTTATTAACTGTGGTCAAGGATTTCATTTACTTTAAGCTCTGCTTGAGGTCAGGAGCACTTCAACAGAGTTTTCACAGCCAGTTCACAAGAAGAGACACAATGTCCTGGTAGAAATATTCACTACAATATTCTGAAGGGGGGGGGTTGAAATGTTCATTCAGAGGAAGCATTGAGCACGTCCAGTTGTAGTCTGGACTGTGTGATTAAATTGACTGTAACTGCAATTTTCCTAAGGGATGTTGCACAACCTTTATGTTTTATGACATTTGGCTGACAACTTTGAGCTTGCTGCACATGAGAACTGTTTGGCCCCAGCAGGATATGCAAGCTTTGATGTAAGGCTCACCATGTGTAAGATGGCTCTGGAGTGCACAGTGTCCTGAGGTGATCAAAGGTGGTTCACAATTGGCCATTACAAACTAAGAGGGAACAAAGGAAAATGATTATTTTTTGTACTGTTTTCTTGTGATAGTGAGGTTTTTTTTTGCCTGGAAATACACAGCATGTAGACTTTACTGCGTGGCTTAACCGTCACCTTGAATCCAAGCTGACAGGCCTCTTCTCCCTTCAGCCAGAACAAAGCCCAGTTCATGAAAGACTGTGAAAAGTCCTATTCTGTGTGGACCTTCTCAGGGGGGTTCCGCACATGGGTGAAGATGTCCTTGGTGCAGACGTCTGAGAAAGACGGTAGCAAGTCGGTGGAGTTCAGGCAGGAGGTAAGAACCTTGAACCAGTGCTCTTGTGATCCATTCTCTGAAGCTGTGGATCGGAATCCGTACTGCAGCCTGCCCTTTAGTTCTCAAAATCTGTTCATGTACCCCTTATCAAAAATCATTGAAGTAGGCCAGCTCTCATTATCTAACCATGAAAGAGAATGAAAGGGATAACACTTTATATTTAAGAATGCGTGACAAATTATGCTTTTTTTTCTACTGGCTCTGTGACTTTTCTGCTGTTGCTTTTGCTCAATGATTGAGAAAGAAGGAAGTTTTTTGAAGTAGCCTCACGCTTGTCACCTCTCGCAATTAAGAGGTTTCTGGCCTTTGTATTGATGTGTAAGAGTGATGAAAATTATAGCTCACAAGCAGTTAGTCGCAAGTGGCACAAGAGTCTGCAGTCTTCTTCAGTTGTGGAAACTATGCTAATTGAGCACAATTTCATACAGAGATGATTTCACTAAAGTTAGCTTTAAAACTTGAAAATAATCTTGTTTGCGTAGTGCAGCAATTGTAACGAATGCATAATGTTAATAAATACAAAGGTTTGGTGAAACAAAGTAGGAGTATTTACATGCCTGTGCTTAATTTGTGATTTACCTTCACAAGCCCAGGTTAAGAACCATTGCCTTAAAGAATAGCTTCTTCCTGAAAGCGTTGTTTTCACCGTATTGTGTTTAGAATTATTGCTGGAGAAGAATCTACCGTACATAAGATCATTTTTTTGTATTTGCAGCCTTTTCTATTTTTTTACCTACTCCAACTAAGATAAGAATCTCAGTCTGGCCCAGAGGCTGCAACCTCTAACTGAACCTTCCTTTCAGTTAAAGGAGATGCGCATACTGTAGGGACATGTCACTGTACATCCTCCGTATTAGGCAAAGATGTATTTTTTTGGTGACCTGGCTCCCTTGAACTCTGAACATTTGCATTGTCAAAAGCGACAATGTTGTAATTTAAACTCTTTCCTGTTTTGGTTTTTCACTAATCCAACAGTGATGCAGAATCTAGGATGTCTCTTTAAGTAGCGGGACCCCAGCAAATGTATTTTGTATAGAGAACCATAATTTAAAAAATAGTAACCTGCACTCTCCTGCAGTTGTGTAAGATTTCTGTTTAGCCTTTGCCACAGGATATATAGCATTTGAAACAATTTTCCATTCTGTGCTACCCACAGATACAAGGATTATACAGTAAATATTTTTTTCTCATAAGTGTAATAAGGCAAAGCGTGATTCCCTATAAATTGGACTGATTTTACAGTCAAGAGGTCTTAAGCATTGTAGTGGTTTTATTAGGACAGCCCTTTCCTGCAAAATCAATATAACAGCTGTGCTTAGAGTAGATCGTATGGCTCCACACCACTTTCAGAGTCATAATAACCTTAATCTGATTTCTGAATTATCCTTGTATCTCAGACATCTCCAAGGTAACTTCTCACTTACCATGTCCAGAAATCCCTTATATTGATTTAACAGTGGGATGTGTGAACTGAAATTTTTATTAATAGTAGAAGCTGAGCTCAGTCAACACAATTAATTTCTGATGGTGCACTGCTTCTTTTCAGTATAGTAATTTATTTAAACGTTGCTTTTTTTGATGTTGTGACAGTGGACAATTCTGTAAGCCTCCATAGTTCTGTAAATTACCTCCGTAGTATGTAGCATTAATAAAATGGGATCCTATCCTTATCGCATCCTAGAGTTGTATAAACTTCATTTTTCTCTTAAAATACGGGGGTGGGGGGATACTATGCAATCCACTGTTCGTATTCCTCTGAGAATCTTTGAATTGTTCCTATCCAGTCCAGCGTTGTGAAGTACTACGATAAGAGGCTGGAATCCGAAAAAACCAATCAGCTCTTTTTTGTTGTGTTTGAGTGGAGGGACCCCTTCATTCAGCAAGTCCGGGACGTAAGTCGAGTTCAGATACAGTATATCTTTAATTTTCGTGTAAAAACAAATATTCAGTGCATAGACTAAAAATGTGCCAATATGTTTTCTTTGCACTTCATTACAGGGTACCTAACTATATGGAGATCATACTATATCTTAGCACTCTTCACACAATAGAGAAGCATTAAATGTATTTTATAATAATGAGTGAGATTTTTACAGTGTGCTTAAAATTACAGGTTAAAGAAACTACACATTTAAATTGGTCAAATCAGTCTCTGCACTTAATATAGAAAAGATTCATGGGGATTGTATTATCCTTTTTATTGCTTTACTGTAACTAGAGGCTAGATATAAAAAATAATTTTACATGGAAATACTTAAACCCCGATACCTCGTTTTATGTGTATAAGGCAATTGCTGGATGTTAATTATGTGTTGTGTGAAGAGTTCCTAAATTTATGGGAGCATTCAAGCCTTCTTCTCTCAGCACCAAGTTTTAGTGCAGTTTCACTTGACTTTCACCTGCTCCACTGGCAAGTCTGTTTTTTCTCAAAGAGCCTTTATCTGTCATCCCAAAGATCATCACGGCCAATCCCTGGAACACCATTGCCATTCTGTGCGGAGTCTTCCTGGCCCTGTTCAAGGCCGCCGACTTTGCCAAGCTCAGCGTGAAGTGGATGATCAAAATCCGCAAGCGCCAGCTGAAGCGCAAGGCCAGGGAACTGAACCAGGTTGGCTGAGGGGCCGAAGAGCCACGGGCACTTCCCTTCCCCGCTGCATCTCTCTGAGCCGTTATTTTCTCCGAAAAAACCGAGGTGGGGAAGTAGTCAACTTCGGTTCGCACAGCCGGAACGACATGCCGCTCACCCGCAAGATGGGACGGGATAGGAGGACACCAGCCTGTGCGAACGCTCGATAATAAATTCTCACGATCTAGACTTATCTGGGAATGTGAACACAAAAACGGTCACTTTTTGGAGCTCTTTATTCAGAAATGTGTAGTCAAGCTCTTTCTTGAAAGATGGTAGATTCAGTCTCCAAAATTGGGCAAGACAAATAGTCCCATACTAGTCTTCAGAAAAATCACTGTGTGCAGTTACTGTGACTGTCTGGGACCTCCGCTGTTTCCTCTGCAGGTGTTAATGCCAGAGGAATAAACTCGCCAACCTCCCCCAACATAGTGTAAAACAGTCCAGGTACACGTTTTGTCTTATCAGTGTGCCCCCATTTGGCTTCTGTTTCATAGTCAGAAAGACAAAAAGGTTAGACAGCATTTTGTTTGGTTTTCCATGCTGGCCTATTTCCAGGCTTGTCTCACCCATGGAATAAAAAACAGGAATTAAAATTTAACTGTCAATATAGGTGACTTGTCTGTCATCTTTTCGAATACCATATGTATACATATTGTAACGCAACGGGGGCTCAGGCGGGTGCCCTTGCCGCATTAGGTCGGCCCCATCCCGACTGAGGCTCGCACCCGGGACTCCCGCGTCTCTCTGCAGCGACCCAGCCCCGTGAGCTAAAGAGAGATCTCTCTTCAGCCCAGTAGCTGTAGTCCTGCTATCACAGGGAAGGACAGTGACATCACCTGCTCTGGTACGCCGGCTCTTACACAGTGCCTGTCGGCCGTAAGCGTTACAATATAGAGTAAATATTACGAAGCTTCACGTCGGCTTTAAATGTTAAAAAACATAATCACGTTGGATGCAGTTTAAGTGGATCAAAAATAATTAGAGGAGGTATTGACTGAAAGGACTGAAACTGGTTTCAATTTCATAAGCGCAGCAGCTATTATCTAAGGGGGAAATGTAATTAAGTAGCAGACATGGCTGTAAATAGCACGGACATCTTTCACTAGTTCTCACTAAGTTTTCACTAGGCTGGAGTATGAAGATAGTGGATATCTAAAATACTGCTGACTAGCTTTAGTAGTACTAATTCTATATCCAGCTGATTAGCAACAGGAAGACACTTGTCTTGAAATGACGCTTTGTTTCCTTAGGTTTGCAGTGCATCTAGTTGTGAATAATTTGCATCTCACAAGGTTTTACATTTCCCTGTGTGCTAATCAGTGTTTTTTGCATTTTATGCACAGTATAATGTACTGAACATGCACTAATCTTTTAAAAGTGAGATAACCTTTAGTTTGGATCCTATGTCTTGAACGCCTGATAAGAAAACTATAATATTCCATCATTTTTATTTTTGTAAGCGTGATGATTTATTTAGGCTTTATAGAAGCAAGCCGTAAATAGGCAAATACTGTATGTTAAAGATTAAGTGGTATGAATAACATTTTTTCCTCATAGGTTGAAGTTGACCGGAAAGCCAGAATTATACAGTAGATAACATTGTACTGAAATTGCAGCAATAACCCATCTGAAACTCATGTGTTAATGGAACCAAAGTGGCATGAGATCACATAGAAGGTTTTCAGGAAGATAATTGTTTAAGTTTTTAGTAAATGAAAAGTGCAGTAAGCAGCTTGTCTGTTAGTGGCAGCATCAGTGATATAATTTCCCTGCATCAAGTAAAATCCACCCAAGCCACTCAATTGCTTTTCAAGTTATTGTTTTTTTTTTTTTGCCATGGCTCATTATCAGTATCTTTACAGCACATTCTGAAATTGTATCAACAAAGGATGCAAATAAAGCATCCTAAAGTAAGTCAGACATGTACTGTAACAGTGGATCTGTACTGATCGATATGATTTGGGACCGTACCACCTCACTGCAAAAGTAATGTTTTTTTTCCCCATTTGTTTTAATTGGATCAAGATTAACTGTTCAGAAAATCTGCAAACTCATTTTTTTACTCATTTTACTCGTCTAAGGTTGCTTTCAAACAAGTATAAACTGTAAACATTTCTTCTTTTACATTTTGTATCATCAGAATATTATATTCAAAACTATTTTTTTAACAAAAGGTTTGTCATCTGCAGCTGTCCTGTTGATTTTAATCTGATCTGTATTTGCATACAGTGCACAAACATTTGTCCTTTTTTGAAACATATTGGTCGTGTTATTTTGTCTTTACTGATGTTTTATGTGAACCACTGACTAAACTTTTTTTTTCTCCAATTTTTGTATGAAAAAACATCTATTGAGCTAATGACTAGGTTAACACTGTAGGAATTTAAAGAAGGAAGTCTATACAAAAAAGATCTAAAAAAATATTTCTAGCTGGTTTTGTTTAATCCTAGGAATTTCAACAGATCATTTGCCCATTCATGAAAAGGGAACATTTACTCTAAGCTGGGACATACTTGAATTCATAGATTATAGTAATAAAAGATTTTGAATAATGGACATCTACTAAGGTTTTTCAATAAATAATTTAACATTCTTTGATGTCATTGAGTGTTATTGTTCCGCTAAGTGTGTGCGTTGCAGGGTCTGAATGACTTGAAAAAATTATTGAAAAGCATTCTTTCATTTATTGCCTTGTCTTGTTTATGCAAACTTTCCAAATGTTGAGAAAACTTTTTTACCCATGCACCCATGCAAACTTTCTTTTATCTGTGCACAAGCTTTGAAAGTATCTTTTCTGAGGTAATGATGATACCTTCCTTATCTTATACAGATGATAAATAGTACAAACACTCTGCCAAGATAAGGATAGCACTTTATTTTCAAATTGCTAAAGCTAATTAAGCAACACAGGTGCTCCATTCACATTTATATGGACGAGTTTCTCATTAGATAAAAAGAAGGCCGATATCTGTTCTTGGACCCAAAGACATTTGCTGGTTGAGCTGTAGAATTCCCAATAACCAAACTCCTGTTGGTCTCTTCTGAATTCTTGTAAAATTCAGTACACGTGTAAATGGATAATTATTTTTATATGTATATAGTGTTTTTTAAATTAGGGTTAAGGATGTGTTACACAGAAAGTTGTAATTTAAATTGATTATAAGCGTAAAATTTAACAATAGCCGAAGCATGGTGTTTTTTATTTCCTTAAATATACAGTATAATACCGAACTGAACACAGAGTAAAGGCAATTTCCTCAGTTCCAAGTAGAAACTCAAAGTAGACTTTATTTGATGGTGTTCAAAACCCCCAAGAAGGTCTTTCATTACAAAACAGATTTCCACACAACAGTATGTTAACAGAGATTGGAATGGTACTCTGACAGAAGGCATCAGAAAGACTGGACAGACATACAGCGTCACTACAGCTTTGTTTTCCCCTGCCTGCCTAAATCCCCTATAAAAATCACACCCAGGTGCTTATGAGTTTAATGGAAAAAATATATTTATTTATATGGCTCATTTCTTGTTTACAACAGCTCACTTACTGATTTTATTTCTTGAAAAATACTTTTAAAAGAACTTATACTCTGTGTCCGCATTTAGTCTCAGTAATTTGTAATACTTAAATAGGTATTTTATGGCTGCAATTAATTCTGTCTTTAATATATTACAGTAGCAAGCAAACTTTGTCATCAGAAAGAGGAAAGAACCAATATACAAGAACACACAGTGACGTTTGCTCTTCTGGATCACATCAGAAGCACAGCAGATTCCCCACCATTCCTCTCTCCCCCAGTGTCAATGAAGTGTGGAGAGTACATATAAAACAGTAAAATCTTAAAATAGCGGTCTAATTTATCTATGTGCAGCACAATCAAAACATTTTCAAGTCATACCTCTCACCAAACCCTTTTTTTTCCCTCACTCGTATCACAAGATAAAGTTTATTTAATCCTCAGTGAACTACCTAAAAGTGACAAAAATAAATTCATGATTAGACAAAAGTTACAAATATACTGTGGCCACGCTGTAACATCCAAAAAATATTCTTAAAAGTCCACAGATTTTTATCTTCCGTGCCAAAAATAACTGGCTTCTTATATATATATATTTCTATATAGATTTCTTTTACATACTGATGAGGTGGTTTTTAATCCCCCTTCCCCTGACAGTTCTCAGACAATTCCGATACAGAACAGGAAATCCGCTGCCGATACAGCAGACACTATGGCAAGGCTGAGACCTGTGTCATTTGGCATACGTGCTGTTGTTGTTATTGTTGTTCTGGGCATTCTGCAGGCTGTGGCTGTTTTGCAGTTCTGAAGTCCCTTTTATTTTCAGCTCGTCCAGCTTCTTCCAGAGCTCCTCTCTCTCCTGCTCCTTCTTCTTCTCCCTAAAACCCATACCAGACCAAACCTGTCACTACCAGCATGCTTTGGGGCTCAAGGAAAACTACAGGATGTTAGCCAGCAGGAAACTCTTTCACTTCCATATGCAGTGTTACTGTGGGACAGTTCAGTCTCAGGTTCGGTCAAGAAAAATACCCTTTATCTCAGTTTTGCAGTTCCAATTAAATCTATGATGACATACTGTAAATGAGGGAGCTATCATAATTTACATAAAGTTTATCTGGTAATTGTAAATAAACCATGTTGAAAGTTCACAGATGAAATTAAGTCTTGGGATTCACACCACATGCTTTTAAATTCCAAAAGAGGAAAAACCTTGAACCATACTAATATAATTTTAAGCAAACACAAAATCTTTTTTTTCAATTTTTCCTTAGTCTGATCTATGTAACTAAATAACTGCGGGGAGCCAGAAGGTTTAAGAATACTGCTTTAACAATGCACACACTGAAGCAGAAATATCACTTGCCATGAATGAAAAGGTTTAATACTGTATGTGCAGCACTAATATCAAGTCACAGCTAGAAGGTGATGCCCTCTAAATGTGGCATTGTACTCTGAAAGATGACTGAATAAGAGCCAGGCAGAAAGCAGCTTGCATGGGAAGGTGAAATGACAATTTCCACCTCATTTTGGCTTTCTTGTGTATAGACACTGCCAGTGGGCTTGCTGGGTTTCTTGCTGTGGAAACACTGGTGGAATTCTTCCTTTTCTCTTCCTTCACAAATGCAGGAAAAAATAGCATTCTGTTTTAATTTTTTTTTGTTTTAAATTCAGTCTACATATCATACAAACTAAACCCAGAAACAGGTTTCTCACATTAATCAAGAACACCATTAATAAGAGCCAGCAGCCATATCACCCTGCAGCTCTCAATTGGCTACCCACCGAAGCTCAGCAGGTTTGAGCCTGGTCAGTACTTGGATGAGAGACCTCCTGGGAAGCCATGGTTGCTGCTGGAAGTGGTGTAAGTGGGACCAGCGGGGGGCGCCCACCCTGCGGACTGTGTGGGTCCTAGTGCCCTGGTGTAGTGGCATTGCACTGTACTGTACACAGTACTGTAGTGGGCGCCGTCTTTCGGATGAGACGTTAAACTGAGGTCCTGACTCTCAGTGGCCATTAAAGATCCCCGGGCATTTCTCGATAGAGTAGGGTTGTATGATTGGCTTGCACTTGCCCTGTTATAGACTGGCGCCTGGTCCAGGGTGTACTCGTGTACCTTGTGCTCGTTGCTTGCCGGGTAGGCTCTGGCTTCCCGTGACACCATATGGTATAAGCGGTTTGGCAAATGACATGACATGCCCATCAATAAGAAAATACTTTATAATGCAGCATTTAAAAAGAATCACAACTTGGAGAAAGACATGAGCACCATGAGCTATAATCTTAAAAACTATGGTTAATCACAGATGTTAAAGGGGGTAGAATAAGTCCTGAATGGATAGGATTGAATGTCCAACACTGATAGGTTAAAAGGATTCTACTCTTCAAAAAGGCCAAATCCGCAGTGAAATATATACCAGAGCTCACAAGTGGAAACTATAGGGAACTGCATTTAAATTGCCAAATTGGAGGCAATTGTTAGAAAAAAATCCTGGGTGACTAGAACAAGCTACAGAATCATTTCATCCAGTCTAATACCCTGGCTTTTTAAAGAACTGGATGAAATTCTTGGATCAGTTATTTAAACACTAACCAAACTAGATGAGCCCAGTGCCTTCCTCTTGTTTAAACCTTTCTTATGACTCAATATTTAGGTTTTCACTAAGGAGAACATTGCTTGTCTCAGGCTAAGGAAGAATGCATCCTCATTTTTCAGTGACATTTAACCAGAGATGCTGAGTAGGCCAACGCTGACAGAACTTGCTAACAGCAAAAAGCAAGGCTGTACAAAGTGACTACAAGTCAAGAGGGTCTCTTGCAGGAAATGTCAGTCTTTTCTTACCGTTGTCTTTCTGCTTTGTATGAAGCTGTCAGCTCATCAAACAGGGTGTTGTTCATCTCCATTAATGTCTTCAGCACATTGTAAACGAGTGCTACTATTGTTCTGAAAAACACAAGTAGAAATCTATACTTAGCATCAAAAGAAATATATTTTTCTTTTGGTTTTAGTAAAAGTATACAGATGGCATCTTTTAATTCCATGTTCTTGACATAATTTTGATTAATTGGTCACTGATGACTGTACGTGGTACACTCAAGAAAATCGTCTCATTAGGGAGAGAGTTGATTGGGCACAGGTGTTGAGTGATCAATCTGCTCAATGTCAAGTCCAGCGGAACAAAAAACACAGAAAGGAACTAACATGCTCTGCTTGTCAAGGTAATTCCTTCATGTTATCGGTGTGCAGACAGCTGAACTACATCAGCATACTATATGAGGTATTGACTGATTTGGTGATTCTTAACCCAGCAACTAAAGAGACTTGGCCAATGACAGGCTGCGATCTGGACCAACACTGCTAGGCCACTGGGGACATCCAAGTGTAAGCACCTAGCCTCTTCAGAATCCCACTTGTATGGACAAATGGCAACTAGAATGCATGACACTGCAGGAGAGCTAAGTAATTTAATACAAAACATTTGTTCCCTTAATTGAATCGATTCAATGAACAAATTACTGAAAAAAGTATGATTTACTTGATGTCATTTCACTGCACAGTACCTACCACTAACAAGATGGCCTAGAGGAGAGCATAAATTTAATGGCCCACATCATCTTCCTTCGTGGTAAAGCAGATACTGTGAGCTCTGTACTGTACCTTTTATGCATCATAATAAAATAGAGCATATATTTTATAAAGAAAACCAGTATCGGGGTCAGGGTAATTATCTGTAGAAGCTAACATGCCTTGCTGAAATCAAGGAACAATTTGTATGGTCTGTTAAGCAATTTGGAATGGTTTGTTATTACATTATAACCTCCTCTTGTTGGTGTCAGGTTTTAACGCATGCTGAAAGTCAGAAAATGCAGCATAGCACTCCTGGGCATAAATGAAATAGCATTCAGATCATCTTATTGCCAAAACAATCTTATAACAAAATCAAAATTCTTAACTGTGCAGAGTCTATGTAAACATTTTACTATGCCCAGCTTTTATACTATTTTGAACTTTGAGAAACAACCTAAGTGAACCTTTTAACAAAAGTATTTTAAACATACCTAATATGCTCTTAAAAACGAATCTATTTTTATCTATTTTATTGTGCTGTGCGCTACTCAATACCCTCAAAAAGAGATAGAAACGTGGATTTAAACTGATGCTTTTTGTAGTCATGCTTGGCAGTATCCGATATATATAGCATTATTTGAACGATGCCCTCTGGTGGCCAAACGTAGCATTAAAAGCAACAATAGAAGGCGTACTGTATATGGTCCGCAGAGTGCAAAATGGAAGTGTTTAATCAATTCTATGATCTCAGTGAAATAAATGGTTCAAACCCTTAGGCTATATCACTCCAACAACTGAATGCTGATCATAAAGTACTATAGGTAAGAAGTATTGTAGACTGTACTTCTAAATTATAAAGCACAGTAAAAAGCAGTATAAAGCACATAAAGAACAAATTGGATAAATAATACAAGAACTTAAAAAACCTAATGATTTTTTTTCTGCTGTGTATCATTAGTTAATCGTGGTGTATGTGTCTGTATATTATGTAACCAATGTCTGTATATCGTTTGTTTTTGCTGGTAATATTTCTCTTGCGTCACTGTGAGCGACATATGACAAAATAAGATTTGATAAATTACCGTATAACCTGGAGCTGCCTGGGGGAGAAACTAACCTTTAGGTTTAGGGAGAATGGAATTAAGTTTTGCTCTGTAGCAGGCTGTAATTTGGACCCAAAAAAGGTTGGAGAAACCCCTTCCATTTTATTCATTCTCCCAGTTTTAAACAACTGCTTTAGATTTCTAAGCAAAGAGTTGCATTAACAAATTAATTTGCAAATAGAGCAGAACTACATGAGAAGAGTAATGACCAACAGCTTTGCCTTCCCTGCAGAACATGTCTGTTCTGTGCAAAAATGATATTACTTAAGAGTTGTTATAATAAGGAAGGCGAGGTGATAAGTGCTTGTGGGCACTTTGAATTAGTTTTATTCAATTACACTTACACTGTATAAGTGGTTTAATTACAGAAATGGAAGACAGCATTTCTTGCTTCTTTAACTGGAATAATAGCAAAACTCCAGTCTTGCTCTTTCCCACGCCTCCCATCGGACACAATACTGATAGGATGCACAGAGAGCTCCACCAGGTAGTGTCTGTCACTAGAGCAACCTGAGGGCTGGTGGCAGCTGAGCTGTCAGGCTGCCTTAAGTCAGCGTCCAGGCTGCCTGTTTTCTTCAGCCTACATGTCAAGTAGATGACAACGATACCTTAGACAGGAGAAGAATCCAAAACGAGACACCAGCAAGCCCAAAAGCACATAACTGTTCCCAAACTAATGCTAGTTCAGGAAGCAAGATAGGCGGCCAAGTTGTTAACATTGATAGCCTGGCTTCTTTCAAGAAATGACCGGATGAAGTCCTTGCATTAATTAGCGACTATCAAACTGGCTAGATGAGTTGAGTGGCCTCCTCTCGTTTTGTAACCTTTCTTAAGTTAATCAAATAAGCCAGCTGGACTACTGGACCAAGGTGAGGCACTCCTTACTGCACCTTCGAAGTCTCATAAAATATGCAGGCTTAAATCAGTGTAGGCGAGGATCCCCCTGTAGGCTTCAATTACAATGGAACAGTATGCTGTGCGAACAGTGAAATCCCCAGCCTTCTGTTCCAGACTATGTCAGGTGACTATAGAAGTGTCTGAAAGAATCTAGAAACAACCTGTAATGCATAGCTAGTGTCAACATTTCCAGCTTCAAAGCAAAGGGGATGTTTACTGACATGTAGGGAGTACAGATTTGGCGATCAACACAATCATAAAAGTTTACCTTGGTTTACCTTAATTAAGTTCTGGGTAACGGTTAAGTGTCAATCAATAGTCCAGAAAGGCAACATATTAGATCAGATCAGAACAGGATAAGAGGACAGATCACAAGGAAGGAGGATGCAGAACATAAAACGTGTGCCACGTGAGAGGTCCTTGCTCAAGATCAACTGGGAAGACCAGATTGAAGACATGCATTTGAACCTTGCTAAGAGAGCTTACTAGTCTGTGTTTTTAGGGAACTCAGATTTCCCTCAGTTACAAATGACCTCTGCGGGTTTGTGGGTGCATTTTAAAACTGGGAGATAGATTCCCATTTATTTTGTAGCATCCAGCTTTGCATAGAGAGATTTAACTGCAGATTTAGAAGGCAGCTTGTTTCTTCTTTTGCCTTCTGTAGGCATTATTTAAGAGAAGAATACTTGGTAGCAGCCTGGGGTTTTCTGGGTGGTCTAGACATACAGTAGGTCTCTGAAAGACCTTGTCTATGAACTTTTCTGCTGTATGTTTATCTTGTCTGTAGTATAGTGTGTGTCACTGTCATTATTAATAAATATTTGTATAACCAGGTTTGCCTGAATTAATACTCTTTTTACCAAGCTGTGCCAGAGAACAAAGAATTCATGTGCCTCTAACTATACCAACTGCTCAGGTATATTCATGGAAAAATCCTTTAGAGGTTGATGGTCATGGTTATGAATTTTACTCATTATATACTATGTATAAAACTATATATGAAATAAAATCATGCACATTCCTGCTACAGCTCGGTACAATAAGGATGAATTAACAAAGTACTGTATTTGTGAAAACAAGGCTGGATCAGCAATAAGCCTTCAGAGTTTACAGATGAGACACATACTGTAGAAAAGCCCACACACCCATTGTAAATAATGGGGTCTATATATCTTCACAGTCACAGACAAAAACAATAATGTATATAAAACACCGAAGGAGGCTTTTTATACAGACATTCAATATGTGAATGCTGAATTTATATATATTTTTTTAAATCTTCATATTCCAGATTAAGAATTTGCTTCATCCTAAATCATCCTAAATCCCTGACGGAAAAACAGAAATACCTACGGGTTCCAGTGCTCCTTGGAGATTCTGTACAAGTTCCCAAACATGATTGGTAGGATTTTGCTTATATTTTCTTCAATGAGACTCAAAATGTATTCATTATTCCAGAAATACAAAGCTCTTTCTGCCACCTGCGGAAACAGAGACACAGGCACAGTACAATTGTAATTTGACAGAAACTGGCTTGACAGCCCGAAAAGAAGTATAAGAACAGTTACCTATGAAGGGAAAGGAATGGTTTACCTGGAAATGAGGATTGGAGACACATTTTGCTATCTGCTTGAACAGGGGTTCCTGAATCTTTTTAAACTGTGTTGGCTCGATGACATCAAGAACTTCCTCAATTTCTCCCAAAAACATGACCTGCATGGCAAAATGTGACAAGCTTAAGAGCTCAGTGCATGGATAAGGCAGTTACTGTATTATTAAAGTGGTTATTACTATTTGATTTCTCATGTGATCGTGACAGGTCAAACAACAGAAACATTACTTCAGGGAAAATCACACATTCAAAAAAACACATTATGATGTGGCATCCAAGAAATTTATGTAGAACGTTCTGACTGAATGGTAAAACCTTCAATTTAAAAAAATAATGCATTTCACTTGAGAAGGCTGTGGATGTTATTAATAATGATACAAAACACAGCCATGGAAATATTTGTGGACAGGGTAAAATTGATGCCATATGTACAGGAACTGTAATGAAATTCTTATTTGGAATGTATAGAGTCCTTCACAAAGTCGCAAAATGAATATCACAGGTTTTGTGGGGTTGTGGATGATGTGGAGGTTTCGTGGATAATAAAAGAAAATTAAATGGCAATCAATCGACTTGGATGAATTGTGAAATGTGTTAGAAGATGTCTGAGACAATTCACTGTGCTTCCTTAGCAAACTGTACAGGAACAGGAAAACAACATTTAATTAAAAAAAGTGTTCACATACCAAACATTGATGTTCTCAAATATGTGTTCACACAGTGCATTTATGCATGCATTCTGTATTAAAGAACTATTTCTGTGTTTAATATTTGTTCACTATAATTTGCAGTAGGATGACAGTGACAAGGAAGTTGCCTCATAGCTACTGGATTCTGGAGCTGATTCCAGTCTGGGGATCCTACTGTGTGGAGTTTACATATTCTCCCTGAGGTCATGTGGGTTTTCACTAGGTGCTATAAGTGCTAGGTGTCTATATATACTGTCCCCTGTACACATGTGCGTGTCCTGTCTGTACGGTAGGGTGTGCCATCAAGCTCCCATTGATTATAGTGTTAGGCTCCAACTCACCGCATCTCTGTACTGAAGTAAGCAGTTATTGGCAATGATGAATGGATCATTTGCAGTACTGTATATACTTTGTGTTCTGTTTTCATAATGGTAATATTGTACATTTTACATTTTTTGCTTTATGACCAACATGTAGCTTATGGTGCCAAGTTATTTCATTCAAAACAAAATACTAGCCTAGGTTTCGTTTACAATTAAAAAAATGTTTCTGAAAACAAAATTGTCCTGTTCTACAAGTGTTTAACAATATTTGAGATGTGTTTGAGAATCATTTCTAAGAACAGAAAAAACTGACACAAGTAGAAGTGTGGAGTGGGTGTAATTAAAATACAATATAAGATGCATACCGCACGCTGAGAAAAGAAAAGCCAGGTTACCTTAGTCATTTAGACTAAATCCTGTTTTCGGAATACACAGCATTTCTTCAAAGGGTTACTCTTGACGTTTTGGCAAGATGACATGGAACTGAGAGTTATAATGCTGCAGCTGAACGTTTTGATTTCAAGCACCAGTGAAGAAAGCAGACTTACCTCTTTCTGACTGCACGTTTTAGGCCAGAACTTCAGCAGCCCTCTAATGACCTGTGCAGAAAACACACCAACACGCTGTACACAGCCATTCAAAACACCCTGCGCATCTACTTTCATAGCTACAATTATAATTTAAAAATTACCGGTACATTATATACAGCATTACACAGAAAGTTCAAAAGAAACAGATAGAGGAAACATTATTTAAGAAAGAAATGTTTCATCTGTGCTTTCCATCTGGACTGTGGTTTTCATCCAGGGTTTACAATGGGGCATTTTTTCTACTCTTCCGAATTACTGTATAGCACAGGGGGGAAGCTACATCAAAATTACACACTTACTGGTTCAGTGAGAGTGGGGTCTTTTTCTAAGAACTGCACAACACAGTAAGCCAGCTGTAATACAAAAGACAATATTAAACATCAACACTTGGTCTTTCTTTGTAGACATATATTGGACAATAAATCCATATTTAATCATGTTTATGACACCCGAAGAAGGCTCCACAGCTGAAATGTTGTGTTTCCTTTCTTCTCTTTCAGCATGGAATAAACCTTTGCTTGTCCCTTTGCAGCCTCTGCATGCTGACGCAGCTCCCTACTTTACCTATATTTATGGAATCCTTAAACCATCGCATTTTAACTTCAATTTTCTTTTAAAAATCACATTATTTTAAGGCTAGAATTTCTTAACTTTTTAAATTTTTAGTACTTTGAGTGGCACAGTGGTTAGGATTGCTGCCTCACAGCACTGGGGCCCCGAGTTCAGTTCTGGACTTGAGGTGCTATCTGTGTGGAGTTTGTATGTTCTCCCTGTTTCCATGTGGGCTACCTCTGGTTACCACAGTTTCCTCTCACAGTTCAACGACACAGTGGTAGAAAAAGGATGGATAGATTTCATATAAATCAGTAGAGCATAAAGTAGCCTCTGGACTCTGGGTTGGGGAGTTCAAACCCCTGCAGCTGTTTGACCCTTGGGAGAAGTACTTCAGCATCCAGTCCACCCAGCTATATAACTAGGGATCAGCATTGCTGTGAGGTAATTCCTGTGATGGATCAGCATCCCAGCCCGGGATGTACTATCTAGTCCTCTTAACACTACGGAAACCAAGATGAGCTGTGATCCGATGAGCCACTGCAGCTGTGGTATGGACTATACCCTTTTGGTTTATAACACATTGGAAAAGAACTAAAAAAAAAACAGGCACAAATATCCGGATGTCTCATTTCTCTCCTGGTCTAATAAAAATGAGAAACAGATCTCTCTAAGAGGAGAAGTGACACTTCATTGAAAAGTCCACAAATTGATTTATTTGAAAAGGCAATCTCACAGCCATAGTGTCATCTATCTCCATTTTCCACGCCAAGCAAGAGACTGAGAAGGTGCACACAACTGTGAACACCACTAGAGCCTTAATTAGCTACTATGACTCAGTGATTTATTTTTTTGCAGTATGGTTTCTGAAATATTATCAGGGGCACAGAACAATCACACTTCACGGAAAATAATTTTTTAAGAATTGGGGAGCACGCCATCCATGTCTTTCTGAAATGGCACAAGATTGGTTTATTTCTGGGACAGTATGGCAATTCACTGCACAACGAGAAAATACTTCAAAGCCTAGCAGGGTGTCCATCTAATTTCATTACAGCTCTTAAAATTGGTGTGGAGCCAGAACCACAAGAGGGCAGTATTGTCTAAGGATAAAAACTTTTAAAGAAAGTAAAAATGCTTCAAAATGGTTCAAAGAGGATTAGACTGTAATGAAAAATCTTCATTCTGCCCCAGTGATACTGAACTACCGGATTCTGTAAGGAAAGAGCAGGCTTCTTTGACCATCGTGCTGCCCTTAGAATACATGATTTGTTAAATTAGAAGCACCAATTATCTTGATTTTTTTTGTTATACCCATCTGATTTGGAAAAGCCAATCATAGGCCACTACAAACCCCATCACCGGTGTGACTCCCAGGCAGACTCCTGCAATCCACGTGTGAGCCACGTGTTTTCTAATATGTGACAGGCAACACATCCCCAGACAGGGGGTTCAGCACTGACGGGAGAGAGGCGCATCCCTTACCAATGGCACTACATAGCTGTAAGCGCCCAGAAGACCTTGGGAATGGCTGTGTCATTTTGTCAGGTTTGGGGTAAGGAGGTGTTCAGAATTAGACCCAATATTAGACCCAAGCTGGATATCCCATACTTTGACACATATGTTTGACTTAATGAGGTAGTAAGAGACTTTTTAAGATCTGGTCCTATTGGGAACACTACTCTCCAAGATATCGGTATCCATAAACTGGAAAATATTGACATGCCTCATAATGATAGGTTGCCCCTTGCGGGCATTTTAACAGAAGCCCAAACAAGAAAGGGGTGGAAACACACATCCTCTGGGGTTTTCTCTAATATTCACAAAGACATCAAGTTCGCGTTTACCCAGTACAAATCTTTAAGTACTGTCAAGCCTTGCTCCTAGACCTTAGTGTGCTAGCTCAGGCTGCTGAATTTCAAGATTCATTACAAGCCTTTATGTCCAGCTTTTCCTTGATCTCAGGTTTCATTGTATATGGTGTCTCTTGTGTCAAACTTCCCTCTTGCTGGAAATGTTGCATTTAGAACTATATCTAACATTGTAGAGTTTAGTGTTTGGTTCCGCAATTCTTTGTGACAAGAAAATAAAGTCCTTAAAAATGAAATGTTATGGAAGTGAGCTTATGAAGGAAAGCAATGTATTCACACCAATAAAAAAGTACAATACCTGTGCGTGAAAGAGAGCCAGTCCTTTTGCCGTGTGCATAGGAATCAAAACTTTCATCAGAAACTGTTTATGTTCTGCTTTTAATGGCAGGGCAAAGCCATTTATGATGCTGGGAAAAAAAATCAACAAGGTCAAAATACAAATCTGAGAAAGCATTAATACATTTTCTTACATGATGTGTAGATTACACTGTCCTTGATGGCATTAATATTTTACTTCAACAGCCAAGGAGAGCTGCTTTTCAGCACTCGCTTCACAACTGTCCAAAAACACACACAAAAAAGTGTCCAACCAACTGAAAGCAAACGCTTCCTCAAAATATTTTTCTGAGCAGCTTTCAAAATGGTTCAGACCTTGAATTAAAAAAAAGTAGTTTCCAAAAAGGAGCATAAAACACATTAACATCCTAGGTTTCCTTCAAGACAAAACAAATAAACACATTTCTCATTCAAAGAATAGAAACAAACAGTGAGCCTGTCTCACAATAACATTTCATTTGATACATGTAACTGTCCAATTACAAGTTTGTACTGTAAATGTCTGTAAATGTTGTGTTGATTATATCTCTGGCAACACTGTAATTCAATGGTAAGGACAAAAAAGCTTCAGGCCTCTCTCAGTGTGAGTTCAAGCTATGCTGTAACTGCAGTGTGGTCGGGATTCCCCTTGCAGCAGTGTGGACAATCTTACAGGCTCAAGTCCACCATACAGCATAGTGACCACTGTGGCACCTGGAAGCTTGCAGTTTGACCTTTAACAGCTGCACTTCTCCTCCATTTGAAGTTAACACTGCTGTAGACACTGAGGAGCTCTCAAAGTGGGGAAAAGGGAACCATATAACTTGACAGTGCACACTTCATCAATCTCAAGGCAGTCTATGGGTCGTAGAAGTACAGAAAGTGGCACTGGCAACAACTAGTTCTTCAATATTGCAGATGCATAAAAAACATAACTGACAATTTAATGAACATCAGGATGTTTCTCTGTGCTAAGTAGAGAGAAACAAGTTATGAAACAAGTTATGAGAGTTATAAATGTCTTGGGGATTTAATTCCAAACACAACATCCACTGAAAGATACTGATCCTTCAGTTTTAACTGAGAGATGCGTCATGATGCTTTTCTATGAATCAAAATGTATTTCTTCAGAATTCATTTTCTTTTTTAAAATTTGTACCCCAAAGCCAGTGTCAATCCCTTTACTAATAAACATTCTGCCCTGGAGGAAAAACATTGTTAAGACACCAGTTTAGAAGTTTGTTTTAAAGGCAGCTTAGTTTTGCCATCCTTGAAATGCTCCAAATGCTCCAAGAGCCTCTTTTGATTAAAGTAAACAGACACTGTGATTCAGTCCTGTGACTGAGCATATTCATGTTCTAGAGAGCGGCCTTTAAGAATTGCTACTCCACAATCATGTGGCCTCCTTCAAGATTAAAACTAACGTTACAGATAATTATGGTGTTTTATAAAGCTGTATCTCAGCACTCAAGTACAGTATTTCATTTCTCCACCTTTAAGGTGGGGGTGTTGCTTATCAAGATTGCAAAACATTAAAAATGTTATTAGAAAACACGAAACTGATAGAATAGAATAAGGATAGAATTTAAATTATTCCCTGACAAACTAGCTTGTTGTGAGAACAATCCAGTTTAGACATGGAGCAAAAAGCCAGTTAAGTAGCATGCAAAACCTTTAGACACTTCACACTTATATTCTTTAGAAGAATCATTTACCATTTGAGGTTGGCAGGCACAAGTGTAACTGTAGTCCAATAACATACAAAGATGGTACACATTATGAGTTAACATGCTTGTGGCTACTTCTACAAAATTAAGATTCATAATCGGATTCTGAATACCATTTTGAATATACTTGTCTGTGCTTTTACCCTGGGCTTCATAAAAGAAAAGGCCTACCAGACAGAAAAAAACAAGACTTATTAAATAAGACCCATTCCCTCATTCTACAGCCTTGGGATCAAATACAGAAAATAAAGGAATAGCCTTGGTTAAGTGGCACTTGATTGCAGTGCATGCTGGGAATAAACATCTTATTAAAGGATACTGGGCACTAAGTAGAACAAATGCTGACATACAATTGCTTACATCTCTTAAACAATGACATAGATCTAGTTTTAATTCCTTTTCATTCATGGTATGAAATTAGTATTAGTAATGACAGGAGAAAGACAATGACACTGACTCACAGCAGTCAGGATCTTGTGCATGACACAGAGATAGCAGCAACATTTTTTAGTTATCCAATGTGGGGAGTAGCAACATCAAAATGCTGCTGTGTAATGCCATAGAAAGACCTTGCAAATTTAGTCCTTAAAAGTTGGGGGACATTGATGTTTGCCTCTTACAGATGACTCAAGAAGGGGCTTTGAGAACTTGGCACCCTTTCTTTGTGTAAAACCTTGACCTTTGACAATGACGAATCAAGGAACATTTTGCTATCATGAAAAAGGCTTGAATGTCCTGAAGTGCTTGCTACTTTTCTCCAGACAGCCTAGGCTCAGATTAAGAGGGCAAACTCAAATAGTTACGTTAAGTTTCTCCATTTATACACATACTCAACACTTAGTGGAAACGAGGCATGTTTAAAAAAGAAAGCTGAGGATGACAGCTTTGAGAGGAAAGCAAGGCTGAGACAAGCGGAAGGGTCATACCACTCCCCTCAACCAGAAACATGTCTGATGTTCTGCCAGAGCTGGTATTTTCATTCTTTGTTTAACTATCTGCAAACACTCGCCACAGAACATGAAAAAGAAAAATAATGGGATTAACATGAAAAACTGGTACAATTAATCAAAGCCTTCCTAAAGGAGGAGGAGATAGCAGTGACACATCTACAAAACACATGGAGCTCCCTAAATGTAGGTCTGCACATCTCTCAGAGGAGAACGTTAAAGGCAATTTCCACCTCCTGAGTTTGCACACTTTGCCAAGCCTCCTGTGACAAGCTGCTCTCTTTGATTTAATAACAGTATGACGAATCTTGCAGTGGAACACTTCAAAGCACTGTGCCAGGGTAATCGCATTTCACTTTCCTCACAAATACTACATCAGGATTGTGAAGGCTTTAGCCTTATAATTTGAACCTAACAATATTCTGGCCAGCTCCATTTGGGAACAGGATCCCTGCCTGCCAATGAGGAATCTTTCAATTAGTATTTATGCTGCCTTTTAACTCTAATCTGTGAGGTGCAAGTCATCAAATAAATTCCATTAAAAGACAGTTAATTCCCTGGATTCATCTGCCCAGCATCCTTGGGTAATGCAGCAGAGATCAAAATATACAGAACTGGAAAGACACACAACTCTCAGCTTGAATGGATTTATTTAATATTTTAAACAATCACATAAAACGCAAATGTCTAATGTAAGTACTATCAGAAAGAAAACATTATGAAAAGTTAGTATTGAACATGACCTCCATGAGCACTAAAACAACTCACAAAGACACGTACAGGCTCTGGAGAGAATGCCATGGCATCCAGTTTCAGCTTAGGAGTAAAGTTAACCATGACAAGACCTTAGTTTTGATTTGTTGAGTTTCTCCTGCTGCAAAACTCAACACTTCTTTGATTGGCTTGCAGGAACAAAGGAATTACTGGCTCAAGGACTTTCTCAATCTATATCTGAGCAGTAAGGCTGACTTCAATGTGCACCAAGTGTCTATGCGTGTTAAAAAAAGTTAGTCTTTGATTTGCCTTTATCTCAGTGTTTTTTGCGTACTATACCTTGTCTGTGTGACTTACACAGCATAGTGTTACTAATTCAGATGGAACTGCCAGTAGGAATTTATCTTGAAAGACTGCAGTTTATTCCTTTCTTTAATATTCTGCTACATCTCTTTCCCAGTAAATACTATAGTTATTATGCACAGAGCACTTTAAGTAATGAAATACCTTTTTTGCACAATCTCTCGTAGGTATTTTTATGATTTTTCGTTACCACCCTTGGTTACTTACAGGTTGTTTTGTCACTCTCCTCAAACCATTACATTTGTACAACTCCACCTACTGGTCTGAAAAATGCTCACAGTGCCAGCTCTGTAAAATGGCATTCATCACTTAAAAAAAAAACTCCACTGCATTCTCTGTCTCCCTTCAGGTGTTCTCTGACATAAAGAGGCTGACAGCAAGCAGGTGACCTTCCTAATCGGATCACTGCTCATTATTTAAAATGTAAATAAAATGGTTTACTGTATGTACACCATTAATAAGCTTGTGATTTAAAAGTTAAAAGATTTACATTTTTATTGTTTATTATTATACAGTTGAGAAATGCTTAAAAAATTAAAACTAACCATATAATTAATTTTTATAAGTGAATCGATAAAGTACATTTAAAACTTTTGACTTTTTTTTATGTAGTTTCCCAAATGTAACTATTTAATGTCCCTTTCACACACCATTTTTATGCCATTTTTATATTTATACCATTTATATAACATTAATAATAGCAGTGGACTTTCTAATTTTAGAAATAATAAAATAATCTTTTTGGTATCTTTCATCTCTTAAAACAATCTACTAATAAACGGAATTGCACTAGGGGGGAAAACAAATATTCCAAATTCTGTATTTGAGAGTGAAACCCCAATAATCACCTGGAGAAGGGTCCACAGTATTTGGAATGGCACTTCCGTACCAATGAGATCTAGCTACTGTATATCCAACACAAACAGTTTATCATGGAAAATACACTGTGTCTCCAGTGAGATTTAAACTTACCTCCCCAAAATTTCCAGAAGCTCAGCCACGCCATTAAAGTGCTCCGTCTCATAGATGAACCTATTAAAGTGAGAGACTGTAATTTAAAACCACAGAAATAGTGTATTGCTGCATCACAAGACTGAATCATTACAAAATTAAATCCTGCAGGCATGTTAACTTTAGAATATGCAACCGCTATCAAATGTAGCCACAAAATAATAAATATGTAATTGGTTTTCAATTAAATACATGAAATAATAAATATATCTTCACAACCAACTTGGCATTTCAAGGCAGACATTTACTTGGCATTGTTTACAATGACCACCTACAATATCATTTTATTTGCTTAATTAATGTTAGATCCATATTTAGTACATTTTCCCCCACTTGTCATGTTATTATACAACGCAGACTATAAATATGCTAAACAACACTAGCTCAGTTTTAGATGACCTATTTTCAGTGAGCCGAATTCAGACTCCATAAGGATATTAACTGACACAATTCACGCTTATAATTCCAAAGAAGTCATGAAATGCACAGCACTATTTTTATTTCCTTAATAGCAGATGGTCAACAAGTATGGCGTAGGCAACAGCCCAGCTTCTTTCTTGCATATGGCCCTTAAGCACTTGTAAAGATTAATGTCTTAATAGCAGAGTGATACAGCCAAAGTGTACATACTGTACAGTATACAATACAAAAAATATTGTTACTGTATTGTAAGGCACAGCAGACAGGCCAAACACACAGAGACACAGGTCATTAATGCTGTGTCCAGTGCATGGCGAAGGATTGTATCGATCCTACAAATCCATTCATTCTTGCTGTGGCATAAAAACTAACAAAAAGGGCTGAGCAGTTGCTGTGGTGAGGAAAGGGCCACACAGGAACACAGCAAGGCCTTAAATAGTACTGGTGTACTCTGGGAAACATCTTGGAACCCCAGGAAACATATCAATCATCTAAGGTACGATGCAGTGCCAGAATGTATACAGCATACCACAAAAAACAGTCATGCTTGAAAGATTGTGCATAATTTGAGATTTCTTTGTTTTTTTAACCACAAAATGGTAATTTAATCAATTATTTCACTTCCTAATTGAAATAAAGTACAATTATTGACCAATTTGAGTGTTTTGAAAGAAAATGTCCGTGCAGCAAAGTAATACACACGGTATACAGAAATTGTGCAGGTGCAAAAACAAGTCAACCCTTAGTTCTATGACTACAATCAAAGTAAAGAAGGATCAGGGGGGTCAATAACAGAGTGTTAACCAATTAACCGAGTTAACCAATGAAATTGAAGATCTGAAATTATATGTTAGGGAGGAGCAAATATAAATAATTGAAGAAAGCATCATGCCTTGAACTACAGAAACATCAGTAGAACTGAGGAAAAAAGTAGTGGATGCTCATCAATCTGGACAAGGTTATAAAGCCATTTCAAAAAGATTTGCACTCCATACGTCCACTGTTAGGCAAATAGTATACAAGTGGAGGGCATTTTAAAAAATGGTAACCCTGCCAAGAAGTGGACATCCTCCTAAAATGTCACCCAGGTCCACAACGAGAATAATAAAAGAGGTAAAAGGTAATCCAAAAATAACATCCAGAGATCTACAAGCCTCCTTAGCAGCCTCTGGAGTAGTGGTGCATAGATCAACAATAAGAAGAGTCCTGAACATAAATGACATCTATGGAAGGGTCTCCAGGAAGAAGCCTTTTCTGTAAAAAAACAACAACAAAGCTAACCATCTGAAGTTTGCCAGAGATCACCTGGACAAGCCTGAAGAGTTCTGAAAGTCTGTTCTCTGGACAGGTGAGCCCAAAACTAAACTATTTGGGCACGAGAGGTTGGGTGAAAAGCTAGCACTGCCTACCACCAACAAACTCTTATCCCTACTGTCAAGCATGGTAGTGGGAGTGTCCTTGTATGGGGCTGTTTTTCTTACTCTGGCCCTGGCCAACTTTAAATCACTGAGGGAATCATGAATTCTGAGAAATGTCAAGGAATTCTTGAGAAGAATGTCAGGCCATCAGTTCAAATACTCAAGCTGGGCACAAAGTGGATGTTTCAACAAGACAATGATCCTAAACTTTCAAGTAAGTCCACTAAGGAATGGATTAGGAAGAAGAGGTTCTGTTTTCCTGGAATGGCCAAGCCAAAGCCCTGACCTGAATCCTATAGAAATGCTGTGGCAGGACCTGAAGAGGGATGTTCATGCAAGACATCTTTCAAACCTCACAGAGCTGGTGGAGTTTTATAAAGAAGAATGGGAAAAAGGAACGGATGTCAGACACTGATACTGTAATTGGTTATAGGGGACGGCTGTGTGAAGTTATTGCTGCTTAAGGAGGTGCCACAAGTCATTTACTTTTGCACACAAGAATAGCTGGTGATTGGTTCAATATTACAGTCTAATAATCAATTAGCTCAATTCCTTTTTTATGTGTGGGAAGTCTTTATATAGGATATTCATTCTATATATTCATTAACAGCTCAGGTTAATATAATATCTCTATAATGCCTACAATAATGACCGCCTTTTGTCATTTCTCGTTAGACATTTTTATCTGTTCACGAGTTCTTAAACAGCTGGACGTTTCAAAGTAACTTAAACCAAAATCAATTTTAAGCAGATGTGTCAGCACATCTGAAACAAAACCTGTGATACAGCGTTACTCCAAGACCATGTCTGTAAACACCTGAAATACCAAAGTGGATTGTCTTTTATTGTTTAAGGCAATACTCACCACCACTGTTTGTGATAATTGCAGAGGTTACCAAAATCAATTTAGAAATTTTCTTAAGCTGATGATCAAGTACCCATTATGGTTGCAAAATTACCAGAGTTAGGATGGTAAATCTGGAAATGTGTATTTTTACTTTCTACATTTTTGAAGTCAGCAGGAGAATTTCAGCCATAGTCCAATTATTGTCCAAAATGCTGCCTGTCATCTTTGTAGACTGGACTAATAATGATACCTCAGAAACAACAACAGTCTCTTTGGGGTCCATCTTGCTCCAACACATCAATAATGGGTCAAGGGGCCTGTTTTCATTAGTAATGTGAAAAGTCTTCATCTTTTCCTGGAGTCTGAGAAATGTAACCTGTCTGTGAAACTAACCAGAGTTGTATTTTATAAGGCAGTGTTTTAAAAATGTATGAAACTCTGAATCTGTAATTCAAAGTACCAATGTGACCTAAAAAAGCCCTGAAATGGACACTGACTACATTTCAATAATATCACAGTCTTCTCTGTAAAGTCTGGGGATCCCAGTTCTGAAGTACATGGGGCCTGCCCATCCATAATTACTGTTAAAGTTCCCTTGTAACGTAAAATAAACTATAGACAGCTCAGACTGTCTATTCTCACTTCTGGTTATATCGCAATATAGTAATATTACTGTTGAGTAATATATATATATACAGTGCCTTGTGAAAGTATCGGCCCCCTTGAACTTTTCAACCTTTTGCCACATTTCAGGCTTCAAACATAAAGATATAAATTTTTTATTTTATGTGAAGAATCACCAACAAGT